TAGCCCCCTATACCAGGGGGATTCTATAGCCCCTTATACCAGGGGGATTCTATAGCCCCCTATACCAGGGGGATTCTATAGCCCCCTATACCAGGGGGATTCTATAGCCCCCTGCACCAGGAGGATTCTATAGCCCCCTATACCAGGGGGATTCTATAGCCCCCTATACCAGGGGGATTCTATAGCCCCCTATACCAGGGGGATTCTATAGACCCCTGCACCAGGAGGATTCTATAGCCCCCTATACCAGGGGGATTCTATAGCCCCCTATACCAGGGGGATTTTATTTTGACCCAACAACTTTTTTTATTTTTTGTTGTTGGACATAAAATACTGTAAAAAGACTGGTAAATCAGCTCTAAGTGATTTTAATTTTGGACATATGTTCCAAAATATTATCACACGTAATAGAAATATACTGTATATGTGATTTCATACAAATGTAAGCAAGGTTTGAAGTGATTGTTTCAGTCATCTGTTTGGGCTTCTTGTGGTCAATTTGCAGCCTATAAATTATTTGTAATTATGTTCCGGCCCCCTAACCAACCACTCAAGAAAAAATTGGCCCGCAGCAGAGATCCATTTTAACAGTTGTATAGGACACATCACAGCAGAGATCCATTTTAACAGTTGCATAGGACACATCTCAGCAGAGGTCCATTTTAACAGTTGTCTAGGACACATCTCAGCAGAGATCCATTTTAACAGTTGTATAGGACACATCTCAGCAGAGACCCATTTTAACAGTTGTATAGGACACATCTCAGCAGAGGTCCATTTTAACAGTTGTCTATGACACATCTCAGCAGAACCTGCGGTATCTCTTCCTACATTAGAGTATGTCTGACGTCATGGTGCCCACAGGGGCACGCTACACACTACTAGATGAATACCATCCACGTTACATGGGCTAAATCAAACCAGACAATTATATATCTTCACTAGATAAGTAGAGCAAGAAAACATTTCAGGACAGGGTAGTGACTATTTGGGGACCCGGCAGTGACTATTTGGGAACAAAGTAGCAACTATTTGGGGACAAGGTAGTGACTATCCGGGGACAAAATAGTGACTATTTGGGGACCAGGCAGTAACTATTTGGGAACAAGACAGTGACTATTTGGGGACAAGGCAGCAACTATTTGGGGACAGGATAGTGACTATATGGGGACTGGATAGTAACTATTTGGGGACAGGAAAGTGACTATCTGGTGACAGGATAGTGACTATTTGGTGACAGGATAGTGACTATTTGGGGACAGGGTAGTGACTATTTGGGGACAGGATAGTGTCTATTTGGGGACAGAACAGTGACTATTTGGGAACAAGGCAGTGACTATTTGGGGACAGGGCAGTGACTATTTGGGGACAGGATAGTGACTATATGGGGACTGGATAGTAACTATTTGGGGACAGGAAAGTGACTATTTGGGGACAGGATAGTGAGTATTTGGGGACAGGATAGATAATATTTGGGGGCAGGGAAGCAACCATTTGCGGACCTGGCAGTGACTATTTGGGGACAGGATAGTGACTATTTGGGGACAGGAAAGTGATTATTTGGGGACCTGGTAGTGACTATTTGGGGACAGGATAGTGACTATATGGGGACTGGATAGTAACTATTTGGGGACAGGAAAGTGACTATTTGGGGACAGGATAGTGAGTATTTGGGGACAGGATAGATAATATTTGGGGGCAGGGAAGCGACTATTTGCGGACCTGGCAGTGACTATTTGGGGATAGGATAGTGACTATTTGGGGACAGGAAAGTGATTATTTGGGGACCTGGCAGTGACTATTTGGGGACAGGATAGTGACTATATGGGGACTGGATAGCAACTATTTTTGGACAGGAAAGTGACTATTTGGGGACAGGATAGTGAGTATTTGGGGACAGGATAGATAATATTTGGGGGCAGGGAAGCGACTATTTGGGGACCTGGCAGTCACTATTTGGGGACAGGATAGTGACTATTTGGGGACAGGAAAGTGATTATTTAAGGACCTGGCAGTGACTATTTGGGGACAGGATAGTGATTATATGGGGACTGGATAGTAGCTATTCGGGGACAGGATAGTGACTATTTGGGGACAGGGCAGTGACCATTTGGGGACAAGATAGTGACTATTTGGGGACCCTGGTAGCGACTATCTGGTAACATGAAAGTGACTATTTGGGGACAGGGTAGTGACTATTTGGGGACAGGATAGTGTCTATTTGGGGACAAAACAGTGACTATTTGGGAACCAGGCAATGACTATTTGGGGACAGGGCAGTGACTATTTGGGGACAGGATAGTGACTATATGTGGACTGGACAGTAACTATTTGGGGACAGGAAAGTGACTATTTGGGGACAGGATAGTGAGTATTTGGGGACAGGATAGATAATATTTGGGGGCAGGGAAGCGCCTATTTGGGGACCTGGCAGTAACTATTTGGGGACAGGATAGTGACTATTTGGGGATAGGAAAGTGATTATTTGGGGACCTGGCAGTGACTATTTGGGGACAGGATAGTGACTATATGGGGACTGGATAGTAACTATTTGGGGACAGGAAAGTGACTATTTGGGGACAGGATAGTGAGTATTTGGGGACAGGATAGATAATATTTGGGGGCAGGGAAGTGACTATTTGGGGACCTGGCAGTAACTATTTGGGGACAGGATAGTGACTATTTGTGGACAGGAAAGTGATTATTCAAGGACCAGGCAGTGACTATTTGGGGACAGGACAGCGACTATTTGGGCACTGGATAGTAACTATTCGGGGACAGGATAGTGACTATTTTGGGACCAGGCCGCGACTATTTGGGAACAGGATAACAACTATTTGGGGTCTATACGGCGACTATTTGACTATTTGGGGGCAGGGCAGTGACTATTTGGGGACAGGATAGTGAGTATTTGGGGACAGGATAGAGAATATTTGGGGGCAGGGTAGTGACTATTTGGGGACCCTGCAGTGACTATTTGGGGACACAAAAGTGACTATTTGGGGACCAACCAGTGACTATTTGGGGACAGGATAGTGACTTTTGGGGACAGGATAGTGACTATATGGGGACTGGATAGTAACTATTTGGGGACAGGAAAGTGACTATTTGGGGACAGGATAGTGAGTATTTGGGGACAGGATAGATAATATTTGGGGGCAGGGAAGTGACTATTTGGGGACCTGGCAGTAACTATTTGGGGACAGGATAGTGACTATTTGTGGACAGGAAAGTGATTATTTAAGGACCTGGCAGTGACTATTTGGGGACTGGATAGTAACTATTAGGGGACAGGATAGTGACTATTTTGGGACCTGGCCGTGACTATTTGGGAACAGGATAACAACTATTTGGGGTCTATACAGTGACTATTTGACTATTTGGGGGCAGGGCAGTGACTATTTGGGTACAGGATAGTGAGTATTTGGGGACAGGATAGAGAATATTTGGGGGCAGGGTAGTGACTATTTGGGGACCTTGCAGTGACTCTTTGGGGACACGAAAGTGACTATTCGGGGACCAACCAGTGACTATTTGGGGACAGGATAGTGACTTTTGGGGACAGGATAGTAACTACTTGGGGACAGGATAGTGACTATTTGGGGACAGGATAGTGACTATTTGGGGACAGGGCAGTGACTATTTGGGGACAGGATAGTGGGTATTTGGGGATAAAATATTGACCACAAGACTGAAAAGCAAGTTAAAATGCAAGAGAAGGCACAGGATGTTTAGTGGAAGTGTTTTAATTTAGATCTGGTCTCTTTGCCTCCTCTCCTACTGTTCTGAGATCAGACCTGCGGTGGAGGTCACATCAGACAGCTGCCACCACCGGACATATCCTCTCTTTCATCCTCCAAGCTGGTAAACCAGAGGTAACGACTGTAAACTGACCATAAACACATGATGGGCACCGCCCGCCCAGTGGTAGGCATGGCGCCCCGTCTCTGCCTCTCTCTCTCTCTCTGCCTCTCTCTCTCTCTCTGCCTCTCTCTCTCTCTCTCTCTCTCTCTCTGCCTCTCTCTCCATAAGCACCTTTGGGCCCCACATGTGCCCATAGCCAGCCACTCAGACCTCAGGCTTTAGGCCTCTGAGCTACCAGTCTGTCTTTCTGTTGTAAACACCCCAGAGGAGCCTGAGGATATTGTGTGGGCTGGACCAGAGTGTACCATATGCCACACTCAGCGTAATTACTATCTCTCTCTGACCACCCAGCACTTAGGGGGGGGCCACTTTGATTCACCAACCATGGGATAACAACCCTCTGCCTTGCCACACGGGCTTCACATCAGGTTCTCTCTCTCTTTCCAGGACACCCCTAACAATCTAACTGTACTGCTGGGTGTGTTAAATGCGCAGGGAGCTGCCCTTATTCACAAAGTGTCTCAGAGCAGAAGTGCTGCTCTAGGACCCGGGCCCCCCTGTATATATAGAAGGACCCGGCCCCCCTGTATATATAATCGTCTTTATTATGATATACAGGACCTAGGACCCCGGCCCCCCTGTATATATAGAAGGACCCGGCCCCCCTGTATATATAATCGGCTTTATTATGATATACAGGACCTAGGACCCCGGCCCCCCTGTATATATAGAAGGACCCGGGCCCCCCTGTATCGATATAGAAGGACCGGCCCCCCCCGTATATATAGAAGGACCCGGCCCCCTGTATATATAGAAGGACCCGGCCCCCCTGTATATATAGAAGGACCCGGGCCCCCTGTATATATAGAAGGACCCGGGCCCCCCTGTATATATAGAAGGACCCGGCCCCCCTGTATATATAGAAGGACCCGGCCCCTGTATATATAGAAGGACCCGGCCCCCCTTGTATATGATAGGGAAGGACCCGGGCCCCTGTATATATAGAAGGACCCCGGGCCCCCCTGTATATATAGAAGGACCCGGCCCCCTGTATATATAGAAGGAAACCCCGGCCCCCCTGTATATATAGAAGGAAACCGGCCCCCCTGTATATATAATCGGCTTATATAATACAGGGCCTAGGACCCCGGCCCCCTGTATATATAGAAGACCCGGGGCCCCCCTGTATATATAGAAGACCCGGCCCCCCTGTATATATAGAAGGACCCGGCCCCCCTGTATATATAGAAGGACCCGGCCCCCCTGTATATATAGAAGGACCCGGGCCCCCTGTATATATAGAAGGACCCGGGCCCCCTGTATATATAGAAGGACCCGGCCCCCCTGTATATATAGAAGGACCCGGCCCCCTGTTATCTATTTGAAGGACCCGGCCCCCCTGTATATATAGAAGGACCCGGGCCCCCCTGTAAAATATAGAAGGACCCGGCCCCCTTATATATAGAAGGACCGGGCCCCCTGTATATATAAGAAGACCCGGGCCCCTGTATAATAGAATGAACCGGGACCTTATATATAACGGCCCCCTGTATATATAGAAGGACCCGGCCCCCTGTATATATAGAAGGACCCGGGCCCCCCTGTATATATAGAAGGACCCGGGCCCCCTTTATATAGAGAAGGGACCACGGCCCCCCTGTAATTATAATCGGCTTAATTATGATATACAGGACCTAGGACCCGGGCCCCTGTATATATAGAAGGACCCGGCCCCCTGTACTATAATCGGCTTTATTATGATATACAGGACCTAGGACCCCGGCCCCACTGTATATATAGAAGGACCCGGCCCCCCTGTATATATAGAAGGACCCGGCCCCCCTGTATATATAGAAGGACCGGCCCCCCTGTATATATAGAAGGACCCGGGCCCCCCTGTATATATAGAAGGACCCGGGCCCCCTGTATATATAGAAGGACCCGGGCCCCCCTGTAAATATAGAAGGAACCCGGCCCCCCTGTAATATAGAAGGACCCGGCCCCCTGTATATATAGACAGGACCCGGGCCCCCCTGTATATATAGAAGGACCCGGGCCCCCTGTATTATAGAAGGACCCGGGCCCCTGTATATAGAAGACCGGCCCCCTGTATATAAGAAGGACCCGGCCCCCCTATATATATTAGAAGACCCGGCCCCCTGTATATATAATCGGCTTTATTATGATATACAGGACCTAGGACCCCGGCCCCCTGTATATATAGAAGGACCCGGGCCCCCTGTATATATAATCGGCTTTATTATGATATACAGGACCTAGGACCCCGGCCCCCCTGTATATATAGAAGGACCCGGGCCCCTGTATATATCGCTATTATGTATACGGACTAGGACCCCGGCCCCCCTGTATATATAAAGGGCCCGGCCCCTGTATATATAGAAGAACCCGGGCCCCTGTATATATAGAAGGACCCGGGCCCCCCTGCTTATATAGAAGGACCCGGGCCCCCCTGTATGATATAGAAGGACCCGGGCCCCCTGTATATATAGAAGGACCCCGGCCCCCCTGTATATATAGAAGGACCCGGGCCCCCTGTATATATAGAAGGACCCGGCCCCCTGTATATATAGAAGGAACCCGGACCCCCTGTATATATAGAAGGACCCGGGCCCCCCTGTATATATAGAAGGACCCCGGCCCCCTGTATATATAGAAGGACCCGGGCCCCCCTGTATATATAGAAGGACCCCGGCCCCCCTGTATATATAGAAGGACCCGGCCCCCCTGTATATATAGAAGGACCGGGCCCCCCTGGTATATAGAAGGACCCGGGCCCCCTGTATATATAGAAGGACCCGGGCCCCTGTATATATAGAAGGACCGGCCCCCCTGTATATATAGAAGGACCCGGCCCCCCTGTATATATAGAAGGACCCGGGCCCCCTGTATATATAGAAGGACCCGGGCCCCCCTGTATATATAGAAGGACCCGGGCCCCCCTGTATATATAGAAGGACCCGGGCCCCTGTATATATAGAAGGACCCGGGCCCCCTGTATATATAGAAGGACCCGGGCCCCCTGTATATATAGAAGGCCCCCGGCCCCCTGTATATATAGAAGGACCGGGCCCCCCTGTATATATAGAAGGACCCGGGCCCCCTGTATATATAGAAGGACCCGGGCCCCCCTGTATTATAGAAGGACCGGCCCCCCCTGTATATATAGAAGGACCCTGGCCCCCTGTATATATAGAAGGACCCGGGCCCCCCTGTATATATAGAGGACCCGGGACCCCACTGTATATATAGAATGGACCCCCGGCCCCGTATATATAGAAGGACCGGGCCCCCTGTATATATAGAAGGACCCGGGCCCCCCTGTATATATAGAAGGACCCGGGCCCCCCTGTATATATAGAAAGGACCCAGGGCCCCCCTGTATATATAGAAGGACCCCGGCCCCCCTGATATAATAGAAGGACCCGGGCCCCCCTGTATATATAGAAGGAACCCGGGCCCCCTGTATATAGAAGACCCCGGCCCCCTGTTAATATAGAAGGACCCGGGCCCCCCGTATAATATAGAGGACCCCGGCCCCCTGTATATATAGAAGGCCCCGGGCCCCCTGTATATATAGAAGGACCCCGGCCCCCCTGTATATATAGAAGGACCCGGGCCCCCCTGTATATATAGAAGGACCCGGCCCCCCCTTGTATATATAGAAGGACCCGGCCCCCCTGTATATATAGAAGGACCCGGGCCCCCTGTATAATATAGAAGGACCCGGGCCCCGCTGTATATATAGAAGGACCCGGCCCCCCTGAATATATAGAAGGACCCGGGCCCCCCTGTATATATAGAAGGACCCGGCCCCCCTGTATATATAGAAGGACCCGGGCCCCCTGTATATATAGAAGGACCCGGGCCCCCTGTATATAGAAAGAACGGCCCCCTGTATAATAGAAGGACCCCCGGGCCCCCCCGTAATATAGAAGGACCCGGGCCCCCCTGTATATATAGAAGGACCCGGGCCCCCCTGTATATATAGAAGGACCCGGGCCCCCCTGTATATATAGAAGGACCCCGGGCCCCCTGTATATATAGAAGGACCCGGCCCCCTGTATATATAGAAGGACCCGGGCCCCCCTGTATATATAGAAGGACCGGCCCCCTGTATATATAGAAGGCCCGGGCCCCCTGTATATAAGAAGGACCCGGGCCCCCTGTATATATAGAAGGACCCGGGCCCCCCCCGTATATATAGAAGGACCCGGCCCCCTGTATATATAGAAGGACCCGGCCCCCCTGTATATATAGAAGGACCCGGCCCCTGTATATATAGAAGGACCGGCCCCCCCGTATATATAGAAGGACCCGGGCCCCCCTGTATATATAGAAGGACCCGGGGCCCCCTGTATATATAGAAGGACCCGGGCCCCCCTGTATATATAGAAGGACCCGGCCCCCTGTTATAAGAAGGACCCGGCCCCCCTGTATAATAGAAGGACCCGGCCCCCCTGTATATAGAAGGACCCGGCCCCCCTGTATATTATAGAAGGACCCTGGCCCCCTGTATATATAGAAGGACCCGGGCCCCCCTGTATATATAGAAGGACCCGGCCCCCTGTATATATAGAAGGACCCGGCCCCCCTGTATATATAGATGGACCCGGCCCCCTGTATATATAGAAGGACCGCCCCCTGTATATATAGAAGACCCGCCCCCCCTGTATATATAGAAGGAACCCGGCCCCCCTGTTATAGAAGGACCCGGGCCCCTGTTAATAGAAGGACCCGGCCGCCCTGTATATAGAAGGACCCGGCCCCCCTGTATATATAGAATGGACCCGGCCCCCTGTAAATATATAAAACCCGGCCCCCCTGTATATATAGAAGGACCGGGCCCCCTGTATATATAGAAGGAAACCCGGCCCCCTGTATATAAGAATGGACCGCCGGCCCCTGGGATATATAGAAGGACCCGGCCCCCCTGGGAAATAAATAAGACCGGCCCCTGTATATATAGAGACACGGGCCCCCTGTATTATAGAAGGACCCGGCCCCCCTGTATATAGAAGTGACCCGGCCCCCTGTAATATATAGAAGGACCCGGCCCCCTGTATATATAGAAGACCCCGCCCCTGTATATATAGAAGGACCCGGCCCCCTGTATATATAGAAAGGACCCGGGCCCCCTGATATATAGAAGGACCCGGGCCCCTTGGATATTAGAAGGACCCGGGCCCCCCTGTATATATAGAAGGACCCGGCCCCCTGTAATATAGAAGGACCCGGCCCCCTGTATATATAGAAGGACCCCGGGCCCCTGTATATAGAAGACCCGGCCACCCTGTATATATAGAAGGACCCGCCCCCCTGTATGATAGAAGACCCGGCCCCTGTATATATGAAGGACCCGGCCCCCCTGTATATAGAAGACCCGGCCCCCCGGTATCTATAGAAGGACCCCGGGCCCCCTGTATAAGAGAAGACCCGGGCCCGTGTAATATAGAAAAGACCCGGCCCCCCTGTATATAGAAGGGCGGCAACCCTCCTGTATAAAAATGAAACGACCCGGCCCCCTGGTAATATGCAGAAGAGACACAACCAGTGGGCCCTGGTAGCAAGAGAATACAACACCTGTGGCCCTGGTAGCAGAGAGAATACAACACATGGGGCCCTGGTAGCAGAGAGAATACAACACCGTGGCTCTGTGCAGAGAGATACAACACCAGTTGGCCCTGGTAGAGAGAGAATACAACACCATTTTGGCCTGGTAGCAGAGAAATACAACACCATGATGGCCCTGGGAGCAGAGAGAATACCCAACCATGTTGTGCCTGGTAGCAGAGAGAATACAACACCATGTGGGCCCTGGTAGCAGAGAGAATACAACACCATGTGGGCCCTGGTAGCAGAGAGAATACAACACCATGTTGGGCCCTGGTAGCAGAGAGAATACAACACCATGTGGCCCTGGTAGCAGAGAGAATACAACACCATGGGGCCCTGGTAGCAGAGAGAATACAAAAACCATGTTGGCCCTGGTAGCAGAGAGAATACAACACCATGTGGGCTCTGGTAGCAGAGAGAATACAACACCATGTTGGCCCTGGTAGCAGAGAGAATACAACACCATGTTGGCCCTGGTAGCAGAGAGAATACAACACCATGTGGGCCCTGGTAGCAGAGAGAATACAACACCATGTGGGCCCTGGTAGCAGAGAGAATACAACACCATGTGGGCTCTGGTAGCAGAGAGAATACAACACCATGTGGGCTCTGGTATCAGAGAGAATACAACACCATGTTTTGGGCCCGGTAGCAGAGAGAATACAACACAATGTTGGGCTATGGTAGCAGAAGAAATACAACACCATGTTGGCCCTGGATAGCAGAGAGAATACAAAAACCATGTGGCCCTGGTAGCATGAGAGAATCAACACCTGTGGGCCCGGTAGCAGGAGGAACAACACCATGCGGGCCCTGTAGCAGAAGAAGAATCCAACACCATGTTGGCCCTGGTAGCAAGAGATACAACACATGATTGGAGGTTGCAGCAGATGGTAACAAACACATTTCTAGCTAAACACTATTCATGTACCTAAACATATAAGTTACGAGTAGCAGGACTAGTTATATCAACAACCTATTTATGTAAGCAGTACAACTATTATATTAAGTCAACTATTATATTAAGTCAACTATTCTATTACATCAACTATTATATTAAGTCAACTATTATATTAAGTCAACTATTATATTAAGTCAACTATTCTATTACATCAACTATTATATTAAGTCAACTATTCTATTACATCTCTATTCTCCATAGTGCGTGACAGAGCTGTTCAGTACATGTATTCACAAGTATCCAACATTCCATTAAGAAATCCCATCCAGATCCTTTGTACAACGCTTCAATGATTATAGGTTGAGCAGCAGATACTGTGTAAGAGATGATAAAATACTCATACTAACAACACTAACCGTACTATTTGTGACATAAATTTGAGTATATAGTATGCTTGTTGGTCATAGTATGGGTATAGTTAGTATGCCAAAAGTTCCCGGATGTCGTAAGCAGTGGACACTATTTCCGTGCTTTTAGGGCCCATAATGCAATTCTTCAGAAAATGGGGCGTGGCTCCTCAACATTTTCAGATTTGAAGGAAATGGCGGGAAAATGTGCAGCCGCAGTCCAATGAGAGCGGATACAAATTCACTGCTTTAACTAATTATGACAAATGTTAAGAAAATGTTGAGCAATGTAATAAAGTAATGACTTTTCAAATAAGTTACGCTACACGTTATGTTGGCTGACAATTTCTTAGCTACGCTATCCTTACGAACCGCATAGCATATCATTACAGCAGTAATACAGCATGTACCGATATGTTAGCTAGCTACTTAACGTTAGTTGGCTACTAATACATGGAATACAGTATGTACCGATATGTTAGCTAGCTACTTAACGTTAGTTGGCTACTAATACATGGAATACAGCATGTACCGATATGTTAGCTAGCTACTTAACGTTAGTTGGCTACTAATACATGGAACTTGCCAGTATATTAACTATATGCTATCTAACTAACTGCCCTACGTTTATTGACTTGATTATTCCCGTCATTCTTAGTTTAGCTAAGTTGTATAGCCGTTGTGCGTTCTCAATGGACATTCAGGTGCGTTCATAAATATCTATCGATCTACTCCGATTTCAGAGCACTCTCGTCTGAGTGTACCTGTGTCAGAGCGCAGAATAACTGATGAATTCCCGAACACTCAACACCAGTTGAATATGGCCGGTGTCAGTAAACGTCAGCAAAAAAAAACTGTTATTAAATTGTTGCCAGCAGCACCAATGCTCTGGATAACATGAAAACAGCCTAACCAGCTTTCCTAGGGCAAGGAAAATGGTCAGTGTGAGGTGTTCTCTCATTTGTGTCTGGAAGTAGGTAGCAAGTTAGCCAGTTAGCATGGGTGCTTGACTGCTGTTGCGAGGTCAGAACGCTCGGATCAACCCTACTCCTCGCCAGATCGTCCAGTGCCTGGCATTGTGCGCTCTGAACGCTCAGAGCGAAACGCTCTGAATTTACAAATGGACAATCTGACAACATTCTGAAATTACATAGGGTTTATCCGAGCATTCTGACCTCACAACAGCAGTCAAGCACCCAAGCTAACTGGCTAACTTGCTAGCACTCTGGCACTCCAGATTGAATTTAGTAACACACCTGAAGTCGTAAAATGTCTAGCTAGTAATTCGTTATGCTAACAAGCTAGCAAGAGGTTGCATAGCAACAGCACAACTTTCGGTCGACAGGCGAATCGCTAGTACGCTCAACTGAGAGGATACAGTTTGTTTTACAGTATACTAAAATGAACTAATAGTATATAGTTGCTACATAACTTGCTACATTTGCACACACTGTATATATATTTTCTGTTGTATTTTTTGACTTTATGTTTTGTTTACTCCATATGTAACTCTGTGTTGTTGTTTTTATCACACTGCTTTGCTTTATCTTGGCCAGGTCGCAGTTGTAAATGAGAACTTGTTCTCAACTGGCTTACCTGGTTAAATAAAGTATTTAGTATATACTCATTAAGTATGTAGTATACAGTGTGTTTGTATGTGTATTCAAACACAGTTATGATGTATTGTCATTTTGGGCTTAACTTCACATAGGGAAGGTCTAAGAGATGGAGAATGACGTGATGTAAATGTGTGATTTGGTCTGTTCTCACAGGGCTATGCAGTGATGAACTTTGTAGTGAAGTACACCCCTGGCAGACAGGCCTACCTGAGACCCCATCATGACTCCTCCACATTCACCATCAACGTTGCTCTCAACAGCAAAGGAACTGACTTCCAGGTAAGACATGGTACTGAACCTCAACACAGGAACTGACTTCCAGGTAAGACATTATACTGTATCTCAACACAGGAACTGACTGCCAGGTAAGACATTTTACTGTATCTCAACACAAAAGTCCACTCATCTCATGTCACTGTATTTTAGCCCACAGTAGAGCACACAATGAAAATATACAGTTAGGCAGTTGCTCCGCTCCACCTTTTGATAAGTTGTTTCAGTAAGGAGCTGTGAGTTTATTAGGCATGCCTGTTTCCTGGGCTGGCCGGAGGAATCAATGACCCCTTCAGAGAGCCAGATCCTGGCCAGACCGAGGCAGAGCGGGGGGGAAGGCTGCTCCCTTCACTGCCCCACAAAGGATCAATGCTCCCCTTCAGAAGGCTGGACCCTGGCCAGACCGAGTTAGACCGCGGAGAAAGCTGCTCCCTTCACTGCCCCACAAAGGACTCTTTCACCAGGAGGCAAAGGACTCTTTCACCAGGAGGCAAAGGACTCTTTCACCAGGAGGCAAAGGACTCTTTCACCAGGAGGGAGCCCAGAGCCTAACACCTGACCTAAATCTCCCCCTCCTTCCCCCTTCTCCATCACCCTCTCTCCTTCTCCCTCACCCCTCTCTCCCCCTCCTTCCCCCTTCTCCCTCACCCCTCTCTCCCCCTCCTTCCCCCTTCTCCCTCACCCCTCTCTCCCCCTCCTTCCCCCTTCTCCCTCAACCCTGCTCCTCCTTCTCCCTCACCCCTCTCTGTTCCCCCTCCTTCCCCCTTCCTCCCTCACCCTCCTCTCCCCCCCTTCCCTTCCCCCGTCTCCCTCACACCCCTCTCCCGCCCTTCCCCCTCCTTCCCCCTCCTTCCCCCTTCTCCCTCCCCCTCTCCTCCCCCTCTCCCCCTTCCTTCCCCCTTCTCCCTCACCCCTCTCTCCCTCTCCCTCACCCCTCTCTCCCTCTCTCTCACCCCTTCTCTCCCCCTCCAGCTCCTCTGCCGCTTCACAGGGCCTTCTCAAACATCCAGGCTGGCCAGGAAGCATGCGGCAGGGAAAGCTACGTGCACCTAGACTCCTCTAGTTCTCCATTCATGGAAGTTGCTAACTAGTGCTAGTGCAATTGCTAACTAGCATTAGTTAGCGCAATGACTGGAAGTATATTGGTATCTAAATGACAAAAACAGTTGTCATTAAAAACATTGAATTACTTTACTGGTGCAATAACAAACATCAATGTTAAAGAAATAAGACACATTCAAATTTCTATAAACAGCTATGCTACATTGAGGAGGTTAGGGTAGGGGTGGGGTAAGGTGTGGATTGATGTGTCTCTGTTTGCACACTGCTCTGAGGTCAGTAAGAGGCCAGGCCAAATCATGACAAGGATAATCTTATCTGTAAGGTACTCAGGTGAGTTAAATAAACACACAGGCACCCAGCGTAGCGCCCCCCTATGGTGTGACGGTGTCTCTGCCTCTAACCCCTCGCTGCTTCCAGACCCACCAACACACCCTCTTCCATCAACTTACATTTTTGTCATTTAGCAGACGTTCTGATCCAGAGCAACTTACAGGAGCAATTAGGGTTAAGTGCCTTGCTCAAGGGCACATCGACAGATTTTTCACCTAGTCGGCTCGGGGATTAGAACCAGCGACCTTTCGGTTACTGGCACAACGCTCTTTACCACTAAGCCACCTGCCTGTACTCTTATCAACAATCTTCCTCTACTCCTCTGTGAACTCTGTAGCTTGCTTTCATGTGGTGAACATGCATGTGTGCTCACTAATACCCTGGGTAAACTGAACTACTGAACCTTCACTCTACACACTGTACTGAACATCAACACAGAGAGACAGTACACCTCTCAAATGAAGCATAGAACCGCTCCCTAGCCAAACTGGGGTCATGCATTCTTGACTGCGATTGATTCTGCGGTGGTGTGTGTGTGTGTGTGTGTGTGTGTGTGTGTGTGTGTGTGTGTGTGCGTTGGGGAGGGGTGATGAGAGGGTTAACTGTTCTTTAGACATGACACTTTTTAAACTCAGTAAGGGCTAATAGATCAGGTAGGTAGGTAGGTTATAGGCTCTTTGTGGCTGTGTCTATTTCTGTGTGTGATTATGTGTGTGATGATGTGTGTGATGATGTGTGTGATTATGTGTGTGATAATGTGTGTGATGATGTGTGTGATTATGTGTGTATTTGTGATGAGGGAGTCTACATTCTTTCCAAAGATGGTTTTTATTGAAGCAATGCAGAGAAAAATGGAATTTAATGTTGTTGACGGATGGCTTCAAGATAATATAATCAGGCTGTTATAACTTCGGAGTCTTCACCGATCCTTCTCTACGGTTCACACGTGAGACACATGACAGAAGTACCAAACCGTTTTTCATATAGTACATTAGTTTCTGTATACCCTGCAACATTACCCCCCTCTAGGATCAATAAAGTAGTAATCTGTACAGGGCCGTGATTGAGTGGGAATACTCCCGGCAGGTCACATTCCCCACTGGAGACCAGGGTTGAATTCGCTTTCACTGTTCTCCCCACTGGAGACCAGGATTGAATTCGCTTTCACTGTTCTCCCCACTGGAGACCAGGGTTGAATTCGCTTTCACTGTTCTCCCCACTGGAGACCAGGGTTGAATTCGCTTTCACTGTTCTCCCCACTGGAGACCAGGGTTGAATTCGCTTTCACTGTTCTCCCCACTGGAGACCATCCCCTTTCAATGATGATCATTTCTCAAAAGAAAATGTGATTTGAATGGAAGTTTAAAAAAAAAAAATACGCTATTCATGTTTGTTTTTTAACAACTTTTATTACGGTTCCATCGATTTCACAATAAGTTAAGCACTTGAACTGGCTAAGGTTCAAAGTTCATTCAAAAACAACTTTCAGAGAAAGTAAACATCTCCTAAATGTTTTCAGTTCAGAAAATAAACGCCAGCAAAGGCATATTGTCCTGCGATGTAAAAAACATTTCAAGTAAAACAATTTGACAATATCCAACTTCTTTCAACCAGAGTTGAATTTCTTTATCTGGTGTGCAAAAATATATTTATTTCCTTGGGCATGTAGGTCGTATTAACATCAGGTAACAAACTGCAATCCAACGTTCTTAAAAGGGGTGAACAGAACATGGATGGACAATGGTTTTAAAACTACACTTTTTACTAAAGGTTAACCATACAAACAGGTAACCAAGCTAAAATGGCTAAAACGAGATACCTTTTGGCAGAATAATCCTTAACACACATTTCCTTTAGATTATGGGTGGGATTACTGACTAATTGATTAGGATTATTACACTTTGAGTGATTTGAAGAATGAAGGTTCCACTAAATTTGACCTGAAACGCTGATGGGGAATAACAGTCATCGTGTCCCTTAAGGCACCACACTCTGTTTGACAGAGAGTTTCAAATGAAGGGGATCGTCTGACTCTGGCACAACCTTACCCTTGTAAAAAATTAAAAAAAAAAAAAAAAAAAAAAGGCTTTATTTTGGGACAGTAAATTGCATCAGTAAAATGTCATGAGCACAACATCAGTAAGGCACTGCATCATATTCAGACCAAACAAAACGGATCAAATTAACAACAACGAAGACAAATAAAACCTGATAAAATCCTATGCTAGTGTAGAGGGTAAGGTTCAAGGGTCGATGAAGGAGACAGCGATGTACCGTGTTCCGTTGGTGGTGGGCAGGCCTTCATGGAGGTGCGTCAGACGTCCTGGGTGCATGAAGCTCCACCCCTTCCTGGGAGAATCTAGTGAGCAGTTATACCTGTGGAACCGACAGCCTCCACCCTGGGGAGAGAGAGAGAGAGAGAGAGAGAGAGAACCCAGCACCCAGTGAATATCTGTGCGTAACTGTATATTTTCATTGTGTGCTCTACTGTGGGCTAAAGTACAGTGACATGAGATGAGTGGACTTTTGTATTTGAGATACAGTAAAATGTCTTACCTGGAAGTCAGTTCCTTTGCTGTTGAGAGCAACGTTGATGGTGAATGTGGAGGAGTCATGATGGGGTCTCAGGTAGGCCTGTCTGCCAGGGGTGTACTTCACTACAAAGTTCATCACTGCATAGCCCTGTGAGAACAGACCAAATCACACATTTACATCACGTCATTCTCCATCTCTTAGACCTACCCTATGTGAAGTTAAGACCAAAATGACAATACATCATGTCTTTCACCATCACTTACACAGTATTTGCTGCTCAACCTATAATCATTGAAGCGTTGTAGGATCTGGATGGGATTTCTTAATGGAATGTTGGATACTTGTGAATACATGTACTGAACAGCTCTGTCACGCACTATGGAGAATAGAGATGTAATAGGATAGTTGATTTAATAGAATAGCTGATGTAACAGTAGTTGGATCATTGCATACCTTGGTGTAGTATCCGGAGAAGACTTTGAGAGTGACGGGGGATATGAACTCTCTGATGAAGTGTAGCCACTCCTTATCGTAACCGATCTGCTTCATGTGGATGTCATCAGTCGGCACGGTCTCATATCCGCCGGTGATCCGCTTGTCCTGATAGGAAGAGAGACCAGAAAACAAGAGAACAGTGATGGGACATATTAGCCCAGCACTTCCTCCTCCTCTGTTTCTGTGCTGTGTGACTGCTGTCTCCAGGGTGATGGTTAGGGATGATGAGGAATGAGTGGTGTGTGGGTTTAAACCAGTCTCTTTGAAAGATGAATGACTTGACTCAGCAGAGACCAACCTGATGACTCACAGGCTCAGAACCTAGCCACAAAGACCAACCGGATGACTCGCAGGCTCAGAACCTAGCCACAAAGACCAACCGGATGACTCACAGGCTCAGAACCTAGCCACAAAGACCAACCGGATGACTCACAGGCTCAGAACCTAGCCACAAAGACCAACCGGATGACTCACAGGCTCAGAACCTAGCCACAAAGACCAACCGGATGACTCACAGGCTCAGAACCTAGCCACAAAGACCAACCGGATGACTCACAGGCTCAGAACCTAGCCACAAAGACCAACCGGATGACTCACAGGCTCAGAACCTAGCCACAAAGACCAACCGGATGACTCACAGGCTCAGAACCTAGCCACAAAGACCAACCGGATGACTCACAGGCTCAGAATGTACCAGGGATCTCAGAACCTAGCCACATACTGGTATTATGAACAACAGTTACTTACTAATCTAGCACTACACAAAACCACCCACAATAATGAATACAGGAATCCTTTCATTCTCAAGTGTTTTGAAGTCAAATACATTTAAACTCAGTTTTTCACAATTCCTGACATTTAATCCTAGTACAAATTCCCTGTTTTAGGTCAGTTAGGATCATCAATTTATTTTAAGAATGTGAAATGTCAGAATGATTTATTTAAGCTTTTATTTCTTTCATCACATTCCCAGTGGGTCAGAAGTTTACATACACTCAATTAGTATTTGGTAGCATTGCCTTTAAATCGTTTAACTTGTGTCAAACGTTTTGGGTAGCCTTCCATTTGCGACCAAGCTTTAACTTCCTGACTGATGTCTTTAGATGTTGCGTCAATATATTCACATAATTTTCCTTCCTCATGATGCCATCTATTTTGTGAAATGCACCAGTCCCTCCTGCAAAAAAGCACCCCCACAGCATGATGCTGCCACCCCCGTGCTTCACGGTTGGGATGGTGTTCTTCGGCTTGCAAGCGCCCCCCTTTTTCCTCCAAACATAACAATGGTCATTATAACCAAACAGTTCTATTTTTGTTTCATCAGACCAGAGGACATTTCCCACGGTCTAGTCTAGCTTTTGTTGTCAGCTAGTTTGCAGCATCTGCAGTAGGTGTTATCAAAGAGGATGTTGTTGCTAATTTGTTAGCTTCTCCCTTTTCAAGAATAACATTCAACAAGAATTTAAGTTTAAAAAGATCATCATCTGGTGAGTGGAACTGTGTTTTCTATTGCAGCCCGCTTGCTGTTGTTAGCCATCTCTTTGAAAATAACTTACGCGTGTGAAACATTGTTGCATTTAAAGTGGAACTGACAGTATTTTAGCAACATGAAATCTTGCTAAAATCTTTTATCATACCCCCCCCCCCCAGGAAGAATATGACACTTTTTAAAACATTTTCTGACAAGAGACAACTTAGATATGGTCATTTTCACATTTTCATAAATTCATAGAATGTTTGGGAATGACGTATAGTAAGGCATTTGTGAAAATTCTATAGTATAGAGTGGGAAAGGGGCGGTGCGTTTGGACAAATAATAGACACTGCAGTAAATAAAACAGAATAAAAACATCTGTCTTGTCCAGGACCGGAATCTACACAGACTGGTGCACTATAGCCAATCAGAGCTACAGTAGGCCTTTATACAAACAAGCCATTTGCCACACGGGCCTGCCATCATTCACTTTGAACTGGACTGTGTGTTTACAGGCAGTAGCAACAGCACGACTTTAGATCATTTAGAACTCATTCGCCAAAAGCCACAAAATACACCTGAATGGATTTCTGCAAATATGTCAATACCACGGGAGTCCTCTTACATTTGGGAACTTTACAGTCCTATTGATCAAACAACCATGAAAAGGTACTCTCTCCCTCAGTTATGAACATCAACAACAACTAATGCTAGCAAGATGAGCTAAAATCAAACAAAGGAACATTAGATAAACCCTCTCAAACTCAGCTAGTCAAAATAGCCTCCTCCTCCTTCTGCGGCTTGGCTGCCACTGAACGCTGGTCCCAACCAAGCACCCAAGCTAACTGGCTAATATTGGCTAGCTACTTCCAGTTAACTGGCTAACGTTGGCTAGCTACTTCCAGCTAACTGGCTAACGTTGGCTAGCTTCTTCCAGCTAACTGGCTAACGTTGGCTAGCTTCTTCCAGCTAACTGGCTAACGTTGGCTAGCGACTTCCAGACACAAATGAGAGAAACACTCTGACCATTTTACTCTCCCTAGCAGAGCCGGTTAGGCTGTTTATACATGTTATCTAGAGCGTTCTTGACTAACTATTACTTTTTTTTGCCGACGTTTACTGACACCTATAATATTCAGCGGGTGTTGTGCGTTTGTAAATTCATCAGTTGCTCTGCCCTCTGGCACATTCAGACGAGTGTGCTCTGAAATCGGAGTAGATAGCCAGAGTGAATTTACGAACACGAGAGATATGCTAACTGGATAACAGTCGTTCAAGTTCTTGCTAGCTAACCAAATGGCACCTGCATCTCTAGCTGTGTATAGCCACCGAAAAAACGATATGAGGGGGAAAAGTAACTAACTCACCCAATCCTCCAATGGCATGACATGACATCCTCCTTGCGGCTAGCTAGCTATCTAGCTAAAGTTAGGATCCGTGTTTTTAGCTTGCTACATAAATAGATTAGCTAGCCTATTAGCTACGTTATGACTGACTTGTGATCATTGCCCTTGCTAGTTTGATTGAATTGACATTCCCAGCCTTAGTTACATTCGTCCGTTTTTGTCCAGAATATTGGGTCATTGAAACTGAAACAGAGCATCCCGAATGGAGGCAGCAAACAATGTACCAGGCCAGCTGTGATTTATAACCTGATAGCAATATGTTTTCTGTGTGAGAGAGCGAGAGAGAGAGAGAGAGAGAGACTGGGTTTATGTTATTAATAACGTTACAGTATGTACTATGTGCTATGTTTTGACCTCTGACCTCATGGTTGCCTCCTGACCATGACCCGTAGTTTTCCATCTCCTCCACCAGCTCATCACAGGCCCGCTCCGTGAAGACCGGGAACCAGAACACATCTGGACACGGCTAGAGGAGACCGACACAGACAGTTAGAACTGAAGAGTTTTAGAGAGATGAGACACCAGGAGACACATCACTCACGAACCTGAAGTCAAGAACTCTATCAGCACTGATATGATCGACGGCTAGAGACACGTACTGAGTCACTGAGGACCTCACACACTCATAACACTGGAATGAACTGGAGCATGACTTCATGTACGTTGATGTATAATACCTCTATCAGCATTGAGAAAAATCATATTTTGTTAAGCTTTAAGGAGGTCATGTATTGTAAGGGGGTATTTGGTATTTTAACTGTCTGTCCAGGAGCAGAACACGGACTCAGCTAGACAGACAGACAGACGCCAGGAGAGAAGACATACTGAGTAACTGGGAGGGAATCACATGAAGTTCATCTTCACTATCATCAACTTGGACATGAAGTCATGCAATCAGGAGATGATATCTGTGTTAAGAGTATGATACTGTGTCAGCTATCAGCATTTAAACAAATGAAGCACTGTTAAACGACAATGCCATAGTGATGTATCTCTATGTAACCTATATACACACCTCTTCTAGGTAGTTCTCTGTGAAGATGCGTGTGTAGTTGGGGTGGATATACTTCTCCTTCCAGTCCTGGTAGGTTGGTAGGTAGGGGAGAGCGAGAGAGAGAGAGAGTGAGAGAGAGAGAGAGCGAGAGAGAGAGAGAGAGAGAGAGACAGAGACAGAGACAGAGACAGAGACAGAGACATAGAGAGAGAGAGAGAGAGAGAGAGAGAGAGAGAGAGAGAGAGAGAGAGAGAGAGAGAGAGAGAGAGAGAGAAATGGATTAGTGGTCGTTAGTCTGTTCACTGACCTGCATACCTCTCACAGCTTATCCTCTCACACTCTGCTCTCACTAGACAATCCCAGACACAACCCAGAACTCAGTCAGTAAATCACAGGTCATTATCAGCCAATCAGAGTTCACTACATATGCACATCATATTTTTCATTACTACAAATGATGCAGACAATCGGCTATCGTATCCATGGTTACTATAAAACATATCTAACAAACTAACACAGGTAGGGAGGGAGGATATGAGGACTTACCATCGGATTCTCAAATATTTGCCACAGATCACTGTTGTAATGTGATGTGTTAAAGTTAGCTGTGGAAATTAGCCTTCCAAACTCATGACGGTTTGTAATGTACATGAACATTCCCTGTAGTGGACAGAGAAAGTAACATTAGCCTTCCAAACTCATGACGGTTTGTAATGTACATGAACATTCCCTGTAGTGGACAGAGTTTATTAAATAGTTTACAGCTGTTTTCTAAGCATACACAAGAATAGAGATTATATTGTAAATAGTAAGAGATTGACATGTCTCACTAGAAAACTATCTGACATTTACATTTACGTCATTTAGCAGACTCTCTTATCCAGATGAAGTGTTTAGGAAACCAAACAATGACATCCACATGTCAATAAATAATACTGGATTATTTATGGAGAGGTTTGGAAGGGGAGGCCTGAGGAGGTACATGTTAGACGGAGGGAGGACATTAGGGGTGAGGAGGGACATGGTAAGGGGAGGGAGAGAGGACATGGAGGGGGGGAGGGGGGGGTAGGGAGGGGAGGGTTCAGTAGGGACATGGTAGTGGGGAAGGAGGGAGAGGGGGAGGAAGGGGAGGGTTCAGTAGGGACATGGTAGGGGGAGGGAGGCAGGTGGCTGGACTGGACTCTCTTTCAGACTAGGTTTTCTGTCTTTCCCCCTTGACAAATTACTGCAGAGCTGGGAGGTTTATGTTGTTTTGGATTTTAGACCATCTGTTTTCTGATTTATGCGAATTATGTCTCCAATTTATGAATGATGATTTTAATTATGTGGTTTTTGGAGGAAGTGTGTCCTGCTGGGAGTAAAAAGGTGTAGCGGAGGTCTGATCAGCTAGCCTAGTCTGAGATGGTCAGAGCGTTGGGGAGAGAAGCTGGTGACATAGTTGTGGGAGAGAGGGGGCTCAGGGTTTGGCTCTGGGCGGGATAAAGCATCATGGAACTTGCAGGTGGCCGTTACTATAGTCTCCCATTAACAAACTCTGTACCATAGCTCGTTCTATGCTCGTTACTATAGGCTCCGTTACTATAGCCTCCGTTACTATGCTCCATTAACAATAGTCTCCGTTATATAGCTGTTACTATATGCTCCGTTACTATAGCTCGTTACTTAGCTCCATAACAAGCTCGTTACAGCTATAGCTCCGTTACTAAGCTCCGTTACTAGTAGCTCCGTTACATAGTGTGATAGAGCTCCGTTCTCATAAGCTCCATTACAACTCTGTTACATAGCTCCGTTACTATAGCTCCGTTACTATAGCTCCGTTACTATAGCTCCGTTACTATAGCTCCATTAACAAAGCTCTGTTACCATAGCTCCGTTACTATAGCTCCGTTACTATAGCTCCGTTATATAGCTCCGTTACTGTAGCTCCGTTACTATAGCTCCGTTACTATAGCTCCGTTACTATAGCTCCGTTACTATAGCTCCGTTACTATAGCTCCGTTACTATAGCTCCGTTACTATAGCTCCGTTACTATAGCTCCGTTACTCATAGCTCCGTTACTATAGCTCCGTTACTATAGCTCCGTTACTATAGCTCCGTTAATATAGCTCCGTTACTATAGCTCCGTTACTATATCTCCATTACATAGCTCCGTTACTATAGCTCCGTTGACTATAGCTCCGTTACTATAGCTCCGTACTATAGCTCCGTTACTATAGCTCCGTTACATAGCTCCGTTACTATAGCTCCGTGACTATAGCTCCGTTACTATAGCTCCGTTACTATAGCTCCGTTATTATAGCTCTCGTTACTATAGCTCCGTTACTATACTCCGTTACTATAGCTCCGTTACTATAGCTCGCGTGTCCCGTTACTATAGCTCCGTTACTATAGCTCCAGTTACTATAGCTCCGTTACTATAGCTCCATTACTATAGCTCCGTTACTATAGCTCTGTTACTATAGCTCCGTTACTATAGCTCTCGTGCTAATAGCTCCGTTACTATAGCTCCATTACTATAGCTCCGTTACTATAGCTCCGTTACTATAGCTCCGTTACTATAGCTCCGTTACTATAGCTCCATTACTATAGCTCCGTTACCATAGCTCCGTTACTATAGCTCCGTTACTATAGCTCCGTTACTATAGCTCCGTTACTATAGCTCCGTTACTATAGCTCCGTTACTATAGCTCCGTTACTATAGCTCCGTTACTATAGCTCCGTTACTATAGCTCCGTTACTATAGCTCCGTTACTATAGCTCCGTTACTATAGCTCCGTTACTATAGCTCCGTTATGATAGCTCCGTTACTATAGCTCTGTTACTATAGCTCCGTTTATAGCTCTGTTTATAGCTCCGTTAATATAGCTACGTTACTATAGCTACGTTACTATAGCTACGTACTATCGCGGACGGATCCGATCGTTATTCCTCCTTCCAAATACTCCTCGCGGCACTGAAGGGACCGCACTATAAGAGCTTTTTAATGGATTGACGATAAAATATATGATGAAAAACAGGTGCTTCCTGTGTATCTAACCTCAGTCATGACAGGTAGGTCAACATCACTTTCCAAAGGGTTAGGCCAGTGAGATAGACAGCTTAATCGCTATTGGTTTGGCAGAGCTCCTCTAAGAGGCCTCGGCAGACATCTCTAGAGATGATTCCATGCTTTTATGTTCATATAATCATTTATCACATAAACAGCTCTATAATGGGTGATCTTGTAATGCTCTGATGGGAAAACATGTTCATAAGAGTTCAGGGACTGATTCCTCAATTTCATAGGGTGGATGATATCATCTTTTAAAATACCAAATGGTTTCCTACCACTGTCGGACATGCTTATATTGGTTGAACAGAGCCTACATTGTAAACCCATTGGACATTGATATTGACACCAAGTAGAATAATGAAAGCAGTTAAAAACCTTTGGAACTCTGAGCATATGGAATGTTTCCGGGTTGGGGGAGTCTTTTTCTCTGTGATTGGTCTAAAACGAAGGAAAAGCACCATGTAAATGTTGTAACATTACTTTTGGCAGAGAGAGAGAGCTAGATTGATAGGTCGGGTAAGATGTAACATACAGGAGGATTAGGCAGGGTGGGAAGGAGAGGAGATGAGCCTGCTGCATTAAATTGAGGAAGACCGAGATTCCCTCTGAAGCTGATGTTTTGGTGGTTATTATCTTAGGAAGCATTGCATGCTGGGACAGAGGGAAGCGATGTAGAGATACATACGCTCAGAGCAGAGCTCCGTGGTAGTATGAGTTAGCATGGGGCGACACGTGACGGAATGCCATGAAGGACAGCTGGACAGACAGACTAGATAGACTAGTTCAAAGTCAACAAAAAAACACAAGGTTTGGAAGCAGGCCAGACATTCCCATTGGTTGGACATGGTCACATGACATAGAGGAGCAGAAGAGGAGAGGAGAGGTGTTAAATGATGGGACCAGTGAAGCCCTGAACGCACCAAAGACGCTGGAGATCATGCCTTAAGGACAGACAGACAGATAGACAGCACATGGAGACAGACTAGGTACATGATACCACAGCATATGGCGACACATAGAGATAACATAGCCTACCATAACCTAACATACACTAACATAGCCTAACATAACATAACATAACATAACATAACATAACATAACTTAATATAACCTAACATAACATAACATACACTAACATAGCCTAACATAACATAACCTAACATAACATAACCTAATTTAACCTAACATAACATAACATACACTAACATAACCTAACATAACATAACCTAACATAACATAACATAACATACACTAACATAGCCTAACATAACATAACCTAACATAACATAACCTAACATAACATAACCTAACATAACATAACAAAACCTAATATAACATAACCTAACATAACATAACATAACCTAATATAACCTAACATAACATACACTAACATAACATAACATAAGATAAAGTAACATAATATAACCTAACATAACCTAATATAACATAAAGTAACATAACATAACCTAACATAACATAAAGTAACATAACATAACCTAACATAACCTAATCTAACATAAACTATCATTAACTAACATAACATAACCCAAGCTAACATAACTTAACAGAAACTAACATAATCTAATTTATTTTATTTTATTTTATTTTACCTAATATAACCTAATATAAATTAACATAACCTAATATATACAGGACATTTGATTGATATAAGATAAACTAAACTAACAAAACCTAAACGAACATAACATAAACTAACATAAACTAACATATACAGGACATCTGGTTGATTAAAGATAAACATAACCTAACAAAACATAAAATAACCAAACATAACATAACATCACCTAACATAAAGTAACATAACCAAACATTACATAACTTAACTCAACATAATCTAACACAAACTAACATCACCTAACATAACATAACCTAACATAACCTAACATAAACTAACATAACCTAACATAACCTAACATAACCCTAACATAAACCTAACATAAGTGAACTGGTTTAGGAAGACAGAGGTCTGGTTTAGGAAAACAGAGGTCTGGTTTAGGAAGACAGAGGTCTGGTTTAGGAAGACAGAGGTCTGGGTTAGGAAGACAGAGGTCTGGTTTAGGAAGACAGAGGTCTGGTTTAGGAAGACAGAGGTCTGGTTTAGGAAGACAGAGGTCTGGTTTAGGAAGACAGAGGTCTGGACAGTTGACAACACAGAGGAAGAGTCAGAGGCAGTGGGCCCTTACACTGACAAACAACCAGATGTCCTGTATAATCTATTATATATCAACCAGATGTCCTGAAAACTCTCATATTCTAAACAGAGTATTATTGTCAATTCAAGAGCTGCTAAGTATATAATTCTGGTTCTTATACTAGGTTATCTGAGCGGTTTTACCAGTTCTCTAGCGTTCCTGCACAGAGCCATGTCAGGATCCAGTTTCTCCAAAACAAAATGGTTCCTCTCCTTCAGCTCGTTCCTCAGGACCTCTCCCTTTATCAGGTAGATATGAGCCATGTAAGGAATGTTCCATACGCCCCTAAGAGAGGAGCGAGAGAGAGAGAGAGAGAGAGAGAGAGAGAGAGATACGGGGTGAGTGAGCAGAGAGAAGAGAGAGGAGAGAGAGAGGAGAAGAGAGAGAGAACGGGTGAGGAGAGAGAGAGAGAGAGAGAGAGAAGAGAAGAGAAGAGAGAGAAAAAGAGAAAAGAGAAAGAGAGATAGAGAGAGGAGAGATCGATAGGACGCGCTACTGGCCGATCCTCGCGAGCTCATCGCTAGCTCTCTTACATTCTCTACCTACGCGTCCTCGTCTCGCTCTCTCCGCTCTCTGCTCTCCTCCCTAGACGGCCATGTCAATGAAGCTCAGCTACCTCCGTTATGCGCTCCCAATCTCAGCGCTCTAGCTCCATAGCTCTCTCATCTCATACTCGCTTATCGCGTCCGCTTGCCCGCTCGTCCTCTCTCGCTAGACTATAGTACTGGTTTAGACAACGGGTCGGTTTATCGTTTTAGTTCTGACCATCTTCTATTAATGAGCTGCAATAGATATTTTTCATTATATTATTATATTCAACGTGTCACGCTTGACCGGGAATATGATCACACTCCTGGTTTAGGAAGACAGAGGTCTGGTTTAGGAAGACAGGGGTCTGGTTTAGGAAGACAGGGGTCTGGTTTAGGAAGACAGAGGTCTGGTTTAGGAAGAGAGGTCTTGGTGGGATCCTTGGCAGAGTATGGGATGCGGGAAACACATGATCCATTATTTTGTCTGCGGTGTTGATGCAATGAGATAATCACCAATTATCCTCCTGACGTTTTATTTTGCACACAACCATTCACTCACATCACCCATAAACCCTGGCCCTGCCAACCTAGTACACTAACTAGTAACCCATAAACCCTGGCCCTGCCAACCTAGTACACTAACTAGTAAACCATAAACCCCTGCTAGTAACCCATAAACCCTGGCCCTGCCAACCTAGTACACTAACTAGTAACCCATTAACCCTGGCCCTGCCAACCTAGTACACTAACTAGTAACCCATAAACTCTGGCCCTGCCAACCTAGTACACTAACTAGTAAACCATAAACCCTGGCCCTGCCAACCTAGTTCACTCACATCACCCATAAACCCTGGCCCTGCCAACCTATTACACTAACTAGTAAACCATAAACCCTGGCCCTGCCAACCTAGTACACTAACTAGTAAACCATAAACCCCGGCCCTGCCAACCTAGTACACTAACTAGTAAACCATAAACCCTGGCCCTGCCAACCTATTAAACTAACTAGTAAACCATAAACCCTGGCCCTGCCAACCTAGTACACTAACTAGTAACCCATAAACCCTGGCCCTGCCAACCTATTACACTAACTAGTAAACCATAAACCCCGGCCCTGCCAACCTATTACACTAACTAGTAAACCATAAACCCTGGCCCTGCCAACCTATTACACTAACTAGTAACCCATAAACCCTGGCCCTGCCAACCTATTACACTAACTAGTAAACCATAAACCCCGGCCCTGCCAACCTATTACACTAACTAGTAACCCATAAACCCTGGCCCTGCCAACCTATTACACTAACTAGTAAACCATAAACCCCGGCCCTGCCAACCTATTACACTAACTAGTAACCCATAAACCCTGGCCCTGCCAACCTATTACACTAACTAGTAAACCATAAACCCTGGCCCTGCCAACCTAGTACACTAACTAGTAACCCATAAACCCTGGCCCTGCCAACCTAGTACACTAACTAGTAAACCATAAACCCTGGCCCTGCCAACCTAGTACACTAACTAGTAACCCATAAACCCTGGCCCTGCCAACCTAGTACACTAACTAGTAACCCATAAACCCTGGCCCTGCCAACCTAGTACACTAACTAGTAACCCATAAACCCTGGCCCTGCCAACCTAGTACACTAACTAGTAACCAATAAAATGCAGCCCTGACAAACCTAGTACACTAACTAGTAACCCATAAACCCTGGCCCTGCCAACCTAGTACACTAACTAGTAACCCATAAACCCTGGCCCTGCCAACCTAGTACACTAACTAGTAACCCATAAACCCCGGCCCTGCCAACCTAGTACACTAACTAGTAACCCATAAACCCCGGCCCTGCCAACCTAGTACACTAACTAGTAACCCATAAACCCCGGCTCTGCCAACCTAGTACACTAACTAGCAGCTTTCATGGTTTAAAGGCATATTATTCTGGCACTGAAACAGATCAGTGAGAAACAGTAATACTCCAAAATATACAAATAAGCCATTGAACAGAATGTTTTACACATGAGATATACAGGAGTGATGGTTTATATGAAGTCCCAACCCCATTGGTTGAGGATAGGAGACTTACACACGCTTGCTCTGCACGATGTCGATGTAGTCTTCAGAACGGGCGTAGTAACCATCCAGACTCAACGCTCCCCAGAAGTTGGACCACAGCTTTCCATGACGAGTGACAAGGGGACCAATTATGTTCCTGCAGAGTAGAAACAGGGAAGAGACTCAGGGGGGTATGCTAATTTGGTATAGAGCAGACCTAATCCACTCTATTAAATTAGTCAAAACAGGAACATTTTAAATCTGGCTAGAAATTAATGAGGAAATTATCTCAACAGAGAAAAATGTCCTCATATGTGCTACCTACTCTACCGTTCAAAGGTTTGGGGTTACTTAGAGATTTCCTTGTTGTCGAAAGAAAATCATTTTTTTTGTCCATTAAAATAACATCAAATTTATCAGAAATACAGTGTAGGCATTGTTAATGTTGTAAATGGCTATTGTAGCTGGAAACGGATTATGTTTAATGGAATATCTACATAGGCGTACAGAGGCCCATTATCAGCAACCATCAGTCCTGTGTTCCAATGGCACGTTGTGTTTGCTAATCCAAGTTTATCATTTGAAAAGGCTAATTGATCATTAGAAAACCCTTTTGCAATTATGTTAGCACAGCTGAAAACGATTGTGCTGATTAAAGAAGCAATACAACTGGCCTTCTTGAGACTAGTTGAGTATCTGGAGCATCAGCAATTGTGGGTTTGATTACAGCATGTATGTATCAACAAATTGGCAAGAGCACTAGAACAGTCTGCAGCACCCGGCCTCACCCTACTAGAATCTGAAGTCAAATGTCTACTGTTTGTTGATGATCTGGTGTTTCTGTCACTAACCAAGGAGGGCCTACAGCAGCACCTAGATCTTCTGCACAGATTCTGTCAGACCTGGGCCCTGACAGTAAATCTCAGTAAGACAAAAATAATGGTGTTCCAAAAAAGGTCCAGTTGCCAGGACCACAAAATTAAATCTAGACACCGTTGCCCTAGAGCACACAAAAAACGATACATACCTCGGCCTAAACATCAGCGCCACAGGTAACTTCCACAAAGCTGTCAACGATCTGAGAGACAAGGCAAGAAGGGCCTTCTATGCCATCAAAAGGAACATAAAATTCGACAAACTGATTAGGATCTGACTAAAAATACTTGAATCAGTTATAGAACCCATTGCCCTTTATGGTTGTGAGGTCTGGGGTCTGCTCTCAACCAAGAATTCACAAAATGGGACAAACACCAAATTGAGACTCTGCATGCAGAATTCTGCTAATATATCCTCTGTGTATAGCGTAAAAAACCAAATAATGTATGCAGAGCAGAATTAGGCCGATACCAGCTAATTATCAAAATCCAGAAAAGAGCTGTTAAATTCTACAACCACTTAAAAGGAAGCGATTCCCAGACCTTCCATAACAAAGCCATCACCTACAGAGAAATTAACCTTGAGAAGAGTCCCCTAAGTAAGCTGGTCCTGGGGCTCTGTTCACAAACACAAACAGACCCCACAGAGCCCCAGGACATCAACAACACAATTAGACCCAACCAAATCATGAGAAAACAAAAAGATAATTACTTGACACATTGGAAAGAATTAACAAAAAACTACAATGCTATTTGGCTCCTAACAGAGAGTACACAGTGGCAGAATACCTGACCACTGTGACTGACCCAAAATTAAGGAAAGCTTTGACTATGTACAGACTCAGTGAGCATAGCCTTGCTATTGAGAGAGGCCGCCGTAGGCAGACCTGGCTCTCAAGAGAAGACAGGCTATGTGCACACTGCCCACAAAATGAGGTGGAAACTGAGCTGCACTTCCTAACCTCCTGCCAAATGTATGACCATATTAGAGACACATATTTCCCTCAGATTACAGCGATCCACAAAGAATTTGAAAACAAACCCAATTTTGATAAACTCCCTTATCTACTGGGTGAAAAACCACAGTGTGCCATCACAGCAGCAAGATTTGTGACCTGTTGCCACAAGAAAAGGGCAACCAGTGAAGAACAAACACCATTGTAAATTCAACCCATATTTATGTTTATTTATTAACTTTATTTCATTTGCACATCGTTACAACACTGTATATAGACATAATTAGGGCTGTGGCGGTCACGAAATGTCAAGCGAATAACTGTTGGTCTAATGGTAATTGACCGTTAATTAACATAAACACATTTAGCGTCTCCTGGCTTCCACACATTGCCTACAAGCCACTGATGCAGACCTTTGGAAAATCTACATTTAAAAAAGTCTAATAAATCCATGTAATATAGCCTACACCATCACAATAAATCCATTATTTATTTTAGAAAGGTCTAAAGAAGCATGATATGAAGAAAATTGAACAGAATAGCATACTCTGAGTTGTCCTTATGTTAAGTCCTGATGTGGCTATGCCATATGGCTGTTGGCTACACTAGTTCATTTAGCAGACATTACGTGACATTATATTATATTATTTTATAGTATGAAGAATACAACTGAACAAAGCTGAATAAAATATAAATATTTTCTCCAAACGATTTGAGGGAGTGTGCACATTCTGTGTTGAGAAACGAAGAAATAGGTACTCCTACACTACCGATCAAAAGTTTTAGAACACCTATTCATTCAAGTTTTTTTTTACTATTTTCTACATTGTAGAATAATAGTGAAGACATCAAAACTATGAAATAACACATATGGAATCATGTAGTAACCAAAAGAGCATGGAGGAGGTGGTGTTATGGTGTGGGGGTGCTTTGCTGGTGACACTGTCTGTGATTTATTTAGAATTCAAGGCATACTTAACCAGCATGGCTACCACAGTATTCTGCAGCGATACGCCATCCCATCTGGTTTGGGCTTAATGGGACTATCATTTGTTTTTCAACAGGACAATGACCCAACACACCTCCAGGCTGTGTAAGGGCTATTTTACCAAGAAGGAGAGTGATGGAGTGCTGCATCAGATGACCTGGCCTCCACAATCACCCGACCTCAACCCAATTGAGATGGTTTGGGATGAGTCGGACGGCAGAGTGAAGGAAAAGCAGCCAACAAGTGCTCAGCATATGTGGGAACTCCTTCAAGACTGTTGGAAAAACATTCCAGGTGAAGCTGCTTGAGAGAACGCCAAGAGCGTGCAAAGCTGTCATCAAGGCAAAGGGTGGCTATTTGAAGAATCTCAAATATAAAATATGTTTTGATTTGTTTAACACTCCTTTGGTTACTACATGATTCCATATGTGTTATTTAATAGTTTTGATGTATTCACTATTATTCTACAATGTAGAAAATAGTAACAAAAATAAAGAAAAACCCTTTAATGAGTAGGTGTTCTAAAACTTTTGACCGGTAGTGTATATGCTTAATTTAGAGTCATTAATGTAACTTTAGTTGTTCTACAAACGTTGGGCTATATGTTTAGATTTTAGATTTTTAACAGATTTTAACAGATTTTAAGGCTGCATGATTTGACTCTAATGATGATTTGAAAAAAGGTGTTTGAAAGGCATAAGCTCTGCTTTGTTTTTTTGAGCAGGCTGTACACACTTCATTAGTCTCTCATTCACAATTTTGACAAGCACTTGATAATGCCTCGAATTTCACAGCGGCATCCCCTTTGTGGCCGTAATGTACTGGTGATTTGCTATTTAATGTAAAAACTAGCCTTTGTTGTGCCCTTCTCTCTGAGTGCTGCTCGCTGCATCACGTGATCACAAGATCACATCGGGTCTTTCTCACAGGCTACAAGTGAAGACAGACACTTCTGGGACGCAACTGCGTGCATCCTTGTTGTGGGATGCAATAGATCCCAAGTTAATACAACCACTTTTATCAAAAATAAAATAAAACAAATACACAATGTGGCTGACACAACAGATCAGAACGTTTAGCTTAAAATGTTGATAAACTATCAGGCTATTTCTTCCCATTATAAGCGCAGCAATGCGCACATGGCAGTAGGCTATAAGCGCAAATGTTCCATTAGCGGGAAAACACCATTATCAAATGAGACCGCAAATGTGATTATGCATGTAATGCTTTTATTATAAAAGTGCATTTTTATGGTGGAAATTATCTTCCCCAATCTTGAAACTCACGCGCTGCTTATGTATGCCAGTTAGGCTCTAAAACCCTTGTAGAGCAGATGAATGTGCTTAATTTTAAGAAGTTATTTGGCCACTTTAGTTGTGATACACCTGTCTCGAAACAGGGGCAGCGGTAAAAATACATGTCATCTGTGCACTTAAATAAGGAATGGAGGACGCTTTTCCCAAGGTTCATTTTCATGCCAGCCAGGTAGGCTATACTCCTGTTGTAAAGCGAAGCAATGTGTTTAATATTAGGAAAGTAGATAAATAAATATATTAGGCCTAGCCTATAGAAAGCTGATGGGATCCTCCTCTTTTTAATAGAGGCCATCACTCTGTTTTCTCTCGCAGTTGCATAGCCTATAGAAATGTTGACAACAACATGAGCTCATGGGCTCTCATGAAGTGTTTTGATTAGATTTTCGAATACATTTGCATTGATGTCAGAGTGATTAGAGGGACAATAGAGTGCTGAGTACCAGGCAGTTAGCAAGTTTGGTAGGCTGCTAATGACCAGCAGCAGCATCAGAGCTTGGAGAAGCCTAATTACCATGACTAAATGGTCACGTGGAATTTACATTTTAGTCATTTAGCAGACGCCCTTATCCAGAGCGACTTACAGGAGCAATTAGGGTTAAGTGCCTTGCTCAAGGGCACATCAGCAGATTTTTCACGTAGTCGGCTCAGGGATGAGAACCAGCAACCTTTCGGTTACTGGCACAACGCTCTTAACCACTATGCTACCTGCCTTCATGACTCGTGACCGCCGGTGTGGCGGTAATACGGTCACCGCAACAGACAGAACATAACATTTGAAATGTCTTTACTCTTTTGGAACTTGTGTGAGTGTAATAGTTACTGTTCACTTTTTAGTGTTGATTTCACTTTTCTTTATCCATTTCACTTGCTTTGGCAATGATTCCCATGCCTTGAATTGAATTGAGAGACAGAGAGAGCAAGGCAGAGAGAGACAGAGAGAGAGTAATTCTGTCAAACAGCATATAACTAGGTGTCATTTCCCGGAAAGTCAGCCACCAGATACACTGGGTGCCTTAGTGGTGTAACAAACATCCAAAACATCCTGCATCTCAGAACTCAACTCAACCCCCAAAGTGGACCAGCTAGACCAGAACCTCACTGGGCCATATTACAGTAAACCGGACATAATATAATGGTAGCCTATACTATACTGAATTCACACAGGCATTCTGCTGGTCAGCTACTAAATAATGGTAGCAGGCACAAGGCCTCCCAGTGTGAGTTTTGCGTTTAAATGTGCGTGAGACACAGACACACAACCCGCCATTGGAGCTCAAAACACTATATTTTCAAAGCCACGAATATCATAAAGAACGGAGCGATCGTGATTCCTGAGGAAAAACAACTTATGGAGGATACATTACCATAAATTACAGTGTTCATCTACAATATGGGAAATGGGATGGACAACAATGAAATTCTGAATGTCCAGAGTCGAAGACGGAGATGAGAGTTCCCATGGCCTCTTTAAATAACCCAGAGGGCTTTTCTCTTCGGACCTCCAGGGCTGAGTCTTAAACAGCACCCTATTCCCTAAGTCGTGCACTACTTTTGACCAGGGCCCATAGAGCTATAGGGAATAGGGTGCCATTTGGGACTCAGACCAGGGCTCCACTGTGTCACAGGTCTGCCACCACCACAAAGACATCTGGTTTAAAGAGACGACGCTTGAAAACTCAAGGGGACGGAAAAGAGAGAAAAAACTGTCATAGACTGTTAACATTAACACAATAAGAGTCCCTCTTCCTTATGGCCAGCAGCATTAACACAATAAGAGTCCCTGCTCCTTATACACCCCATAACATGCATGTTAGATCATTGGACTTCTGCCCATAAGACAATCCCCCTGAATAGAAACAGCCGCAACACTATAAAGACATCATACCTGTTCTGTTCAAATGGCCTGATCTAACCCTTAACCCTAACTTGAGACAGTCATACAATACCGTTTAGCTCAGTTGGTAGAGCATGGCGCTTGCAACGCCAAGGTTGTGGGTTTGATTCCCACGGGGGGGGGGGGGGCAGTATGAGCGTCTGCTAAATGACTAAAATGTAAAGAATTGCAAGAAAATGAAATGAAAATGAACACCATACCTATTCTGCTCAATGAGGATTTTCAGGGTCTGTTTGTTGGTGAGCATCACGTCAGTATCCATACTGAGATAGAAGTCACAGCTCGGGTCCTTACGACACAGCCCCCTGGGTTATCGATATGGAGAAAACAAACATCTAATCAATCACTGATCAATTAAACTGACAACGTGATGATGGCCTGCTGAACTGCCAAGCATATACTTTGACATAAATCCTACTTTGCAAGTTACCAATTATTAGATCCTAAGTAAACATTACTCTCTGCTAATTCTCTACTACAGAGAGTTAGTTATCAATGGTGGGATAGGGGGATACAGAGATAACGGGATAGGGAGATATGGGATGGGGGGATAATGGGGATAGGGTGATGTGGGATACAGAGATAACGGGATAGGGAGATTGGGGATAGGGTGATGGGGGATACAGAGATAACGGGATAGGGAGATAGGGGATGGGGGGATAATGGGGATAGGGTGATGGGGGATACAGAGATAACGGGATAGGGAGATAGGGGATGGGGGGATAATGGGGATAGGGTGATGGGGGATACAGAGATAACGGGATAGGGAGATAGGGGATGGGGGGATATGGGGATAGGGTGATGCGGGGATATGAGGATAGGGGGATATAGGGGATATGGAATTGAGGGGGATAGGGGGATACAGAGATATGGTGATTAGGGGATATGGGGGATGCAGGGATATGTTGATTCAGGGGATATGGGGGATACAGAGATATGGTGATTAGGGGGATATGGGGGATACAGAGATATGGGGGATACAGAGATATGGTGATTAGGGGGATATGGGGGATGCAGGGATATGGTGATTAGGGGGATATGGGGGATGCAGGGATATGGGGGATGCAGGGATATGGTGATTAGGGGGATATGGGATGCGGGGGATAGAGGGATACAGATATAGAGGGATAGGGGGCCCTAGTCTCTCTGCAACGAGGTGAGGTGAGGGGGGAAGGTTTGACACTGGTCTCCGAAGCTCTGGTTTCAGATGAGACGAGCTGTAGATCTGTTTAGCATCAGAAATACTTTCTTCCCACTGGGCACAAACCGGTTGAATCAACTTTGTTTCAACGTAATTTGTCAACGTATTGTGATGTGGAATCTACATGGAAAATACAGAGGATTTGAAAAAAGTCATCAAAGTAAACTGTTGTTTTGAGGGTGAAATTTCAACCACATAATTATGTTATCATTGTAACCAATTTTCAACATAGACAAACCTTCTTTAAAATGTTGAATTTGTACCTTTGAAACAACGTTAGATCTTCAACGTTATACCCACTATCAGAAAAAAAACTAGCTGGCCAGCACGTCTAAAGCTACCTATCCAGGGTTTTAACAAAGCCCAGCCCTGCTTAGCTTTGATATTTATCACTGACTACTACCAATGTGCTATTGTGAGAATGATGGTTGAGAGATCTCTTAATAACTAAATAGATTCACTGTTGCTAGCGAAGTCATTCCAAAAGGTAGGTTTAATAGAGCAAATGAAATGTAACCATACTTTATAAGTCATATACAGTATCATCAATGGTACTATTTAGGCCTACATAGCATTTTGCAAAGCCATTAACAGCTATTGTTTCAATTCAAACCAGGGTTCAACTAAAAATAGACAATCCATATTGGCCTAAGGTTTCAAGCTTTGGTTAATTTCAAATTTGTCTACAAATTAGTAATTGATACGTTTTTTTTTTTAAACAACAGATTAATGTGTAATCACTGTGCTTCATCTAATATCTCAACCAAATGACCTGGATTTCAGTTGAGATTACTTTAAAAGTTAATTGTGCCAGTGGTTAATGCTGTTGGAGATTCTGCCAGATTATTATAGCAATTGTGAAGATCTCCACAGACCTGCGACCTTTGCATGCTATCTTGAACATGTACGCTTTCGATGATTACATACATTTTACAGTTACAGTAGGCTAACCTCAAAATGTGGTCATGGATGTGTTGCTCATCTTAAGGTTGAACATGTAAATCTAATCGAATTAAACTTTAAATGTGGCGCAGCGGTCAAAGGCACTGCATCTCAGTGCTTGAGGCGTCACTACAGACCCCCTGGTTCGATTCCAGGCTGTATCACAACCGGCCGTGATTGGGAGTCCCATAGGGCGGCGCACAATTGGCCCAGCGTCGTCCGGGTTTGGCCGGTGTAGGCCGTCATTGTAAATAAGAATTTGTTCTTAACTGACATGCCTAGTTAAATAAAGTATAAATAAACACAATATCTGACATTGTCTTCCCATTTGAACTTTGTTGTACTTTTAAATGGTTGACTGCGCAGTGAAAACAAATCCACAAACTTCATGGTTGTCTTTTTTTTAATAAAGGTTGAAATCTCATTGATCAACGTCTCAACCAAATATTATCAACATTTCCACATTGAAATGATGTGGTGTGTCCAGTGGGTTTAGTTCTGAATGATGTGGTGTGTCCAGTGGGTTTAGTTCTGAATGATGTGTTGTGTCCAGTGGGTTTAGTTCTGAATGACGTGTTGTGTCCAGTGGGTTTAGTTCTGAATGATGTGTTGTGTCCAGTGGGTTTAGTTCTGAATGACGTGTTGTGTCCAGTGGGTTTAGTTCTGAATGACGTGTTGTGTCCAGTGGGTTTAGTTCTGAATGACGTGTTGTGTCCAGTGGGTTTAGTTCTGAATGACGTGTTGTGTCCAGTGGGTTTAGTTCTGAATGACGTGTTCTGTCCAGTGGGTTTAGTTCTGAATGACGTGTTGTGTCCAGTGGGTTTAGTTCTGAATGACGTGTTGTGTCCAGTGGGTTTAGTTCTGAATGACGTGTTGTGTCCAGTGGGTTTAGTTCTGAATGACGTGTTGTGTCCAGTGGATTTAGTTCTGAATGACGTGTTGTGTCCAGTGGGTTTAGTTCTGAATGACGTGTTGTGTCCAGTGGGTTTAGTTCTGAATGACGTGTTGTGTCCAGTGGGTTTAGTTCTGAATGACGTGTTGTGTCCAGTGGGTTTAGTTCTGAATGACGTGTTGTGTCCAGTGGGTTTCCTGTCTACATTGTCTCCTTTAATGTAAAACAAGCTGCGGATCTGTTTCAGGCTAAACATCTGACAGATGTGTCTTTTTTTCTACCTTCATCTATTTGAAATCTTTTGACACCAATGGAAAAACCCGTGCTTGTCTTTAGACACTGAAGCGTTTCCAACTCAACATCAGAGTGACTGAGCTTCTTGATTTGCATATTTACTTTGACGATTACTTAAGGCTAATTTCTCTGTAGCCTTTCATGGAACGTGGCAATGTAAGCTTGTTATTAATTCATTTTTTTTCTCATCAAATAACACGTCTGAGATGAAGAATGTCTCTGTGAAAGGAAGGAGGAATCATCACAGACACAGGGTAACATACGTACATGCCCATGTTTCTGGCCTGTCCTTGGCTCAAGTTCTCCTCTGGACCCACAACCTTGAAGCTGTTGAACACATCTTTACTCTCCTCCCAAAACCTCTGGATGTGTCTCTCATGGTAAACCTCCTGAAGAGAGAGAGAGAGAGAGATAGAGAGAGAGAGAGAGATAGAGAGAGAGAGAGATAGCAGAGAGAGATAGAGAGACGAGAGATATAGAGAGAGATCTACTCGTCTAGCTCTGATCGCGGCTCCTCTTATAGAGATGCTCTCTCTCTCCTATCTCTCTCCTCTCTCCCCTCTCTCGCTATCTATCTCTACTCTCTCCCCCCTATCTCTCCTCTCTCCCCCTCTATCTCCTCTCTCTCTCTCTAGTAGAGGGAACAATAGACACATAGTTATTACTAATATTATAGTTAAAGAGAGAGAGAGAACGGAGATCACATAATTGATGGATTAGGAGCTGTGTCTTGGACCCCATCATTGAGCCAATCCAGCTGCAGTTACTCACGTTGTTATGTACAAAGACGTTGAGTTTATCTTTGGGGTAGTCGAGGGTCACAAGTCTCTGGAAGAATTCGGAGAGGAAAGGAGTGGGCTGTTCGATGAACACTCCAACCATAACAGTGGGATACTCCTGTGTAAACAACATTTTTTTTTTTAAACAACACTTAATGGCACGTTTCAGTTATGGAAAGCTGTTTTAAATAACTCATCCCATTGGGGCCATACTTGCAAACATTAGTTTAAGTTCAAGCATTAATTCAAATCGTTGACGTAGTGTCACGTGATAGAATGCTATATTGTAGCTGGTCCCATCAGATAACCTGGCACATGTTAGCCCTATGCTAACCTCACCAGGTGGCAGTGATTATTTCCTGTAACAAATTCCTTATCAACCTATCAAAGATCTTAAACTTTTTCTGCACAAACCAATTTGCATTCCTTACAATAGGTCAACTCGGCCACCAGAGGGATACATGTAAACCTTGAATTTGGAGGTTGACCTATTTAAGGAATGCCATTGGTTTGTGGAGAAAAAGTTTAAGATCTTTGATCGGCTGATGAGGAATGTGTTACAGGAAATAATCACCGCCACCTGGTGAGGTTAGCATAGGGCTAACATGTGCCAGGTTATCTGATGGGAGGTTAGCCCCTGGTGAGGTTAGCATAGGGCTAACATGTGCCAGGTTATCTGATGGGAGGTTAGCCCCTGGTGAGGTTAGCATAGGGCTAACATGTGCCAGGTTATCTGATGGGAGGTTAGCCACCTGGTGAGGTTAGCATAGGGCTAACATGTGCCAGGTTATCTGATGGGAGGTTAGCCCCTGGTGAGGTTAGCATAGGGCTAACATGTGCCAGGTTATCTGATGGGAAGGTTTAGCCACCTGGTGAGGTTAGCATAGGGCTACAGTGCCAGGTTATCTGATGGGAGGTTAGCCCCTGGTGAGGTTAGCATAGGGCTAACATGTGGCCAGGTTATCTGATGGGAGGTTAGCCCCTGGTGAGGTTAGCATTGTAATTAGCTGATGCTTAAACTTAAACTTAACCTCGAACTGAAACTCTTGCTAATGTTGTCAAGTATGGCCTCATTACGTCTTATATTACCTAACATCCTGTCTCACTCTCATTACGTCTTATATTACCTAACATCCTGTCTCACTCTCATTACGTCTTATATTCCTAACATCCTGTCTCCTCTCTACGTCTTATATTCCAACATCCTGTCCTCACTCCATTACGTCTTATATTAACCTAACATCCCTGTCTCAACTCTCATACGTCTTATATTACCTAACATCCTGTCTCACTCTCATTACGTCTTATATTACCTAACATCCTGTCTCACTCTCATTACGTCTTATATTACCTAACATCCTGTCTCACTCTCATTACGTCTTATATTACCTAACATCCTGTCTCACTCTCATTACGTCTTATATTACCTAACATCCTGTCTCACTCTCATTACGTCTTATATTACCTAACATCCTGTCTCACTCTCATTACGTCTTATATTAACCTAACATCCTGTCTCACTCTCATTACGTCTTATATTACCTAACATCCTGTCCTCACTCTCATTACGTCTTATATTACCTAACATCCTGTCTCACTCTCATTACGTCTTATATTACCTAACATCCTGTCTCACTCTCATTACGTCTTATATTACCTAACATCCTGTCTCACTCTCATTACGTCTTATATTACCTAACATCCTGTCTCACTCTCATTACGTCTTATATTACCTAACATCCTGTCTCACTCTCATTACGCCTTATATTACCTAACATCCTGTCTCACTCTCATTACGTCTTATATTACCTAACATCCTGTCTCACTCTCATTACGTCTTATATTACCTAACATCCTGTCTCACTCTCACCAACATTTTACCTCATCACTCATAAACAGAAGACAAAATACATGTAAAGGTCAACAACACCTGCCACATATACAATCAAACCATAAACAACACAACAACAACCACAACCACAACCACAACAACAACAACAACAACAACAACAACAACAACAACAACATAGAGTGCAGGTCCAAACAGCCCAGTATGTCTGGACAAAATGGAGTCATGTGAGACCGGTTCCCTCCCTGAAGAGGGAGTAGTCAGAGGAGAGAGTTATTTCTCATGACTCTCTCTCTCGGAGCCTCCAGCCCACACAGCCCTACAGGGCTTCCCTCCTCTTCACCAGGCCTGGGCCAGCCGGCCTGGGATGAAAAAACAACCCGGTTCAAACCATCTCATTTGCAAATTCCGCGACAGCTCAGAGTTCCAGAACTTCCAAGCATGGAAGGGTCACCCAGGGATCAAGCCAGAGTGCCCTTAAATTGTTACCGGCAGGGAGGACAGAAAGAAAAGGAAAGAGAGAGAGAAGAGAAAGAGAGAGAAAGAATGAAAGAAGACAAAGAGTAAAGAAAAAAGAATCGAGAAACGACCCCATCTATAGTAGTACGACTGACCTCATACTGAGATCGACTCTCTCGCTCTCTCCTCCTCGCTCTCTTCCTCTCTCTCTCCTGCTCTGCTCTCTGGCTCCTCGCCGTCCCTCCTAGTCTGCCGTCTGGCTCTCAGCCATGCTGCATTTGTCCTCCAGAAACTGGTACCCTGCTTTACGCCTCCATACACCCTTTCCAACATTAGCAGGTCAGCAGCAACAGTGTGTCTGTCTGCTGGTAGGACCTAGGCCCTCTCCCAAAAACACACATAGCAAGAGGACCGGCAGTGACCCGGGCTTACCTGTATCCCTCAAACACGGCCAGGACATACTCTCTCTCTTTTCTCTCTCTCTCTCTCCCTCCCTCACACCTTTTCCTCCCAAACAGGCAGGACAAAGCAGGCCCAGTGTTCCTGAACCACCCCTCTGTTGGAAGATGGAACTCTTGGATCCCTTTACCCCACAGTCCAGTAAGTCTGAACTTCCTCCACCTGGACTAATAGAGTCCAGTAAGTCTGAACTTCTTCCACCTGGACTAATAGAGTCCAGTAAGTCTGAACTTCCTCCATCTGGACTAATATAGTCCAGTAAGTTCTGAACTTCCTCCACCTGGACTAATAGAGTCCAGTAAGTCTGAACTTCCTCCACCTGGACTAATAGAGTCCAGTAAGTCTGAACTTCCTCCATCCGGACTAATAGAGTCCAGTAAGTCTGAACTTCCTCCACCTGGACTAATAGAGTCCAGTAAGTCTGAACTTCTTCCACCTGGACTAATATGAGTCCAGTAAGTCTGAACTTCCTCCATCTGGACTAATAGAGTACAGTAAGTCTGAACTTCTTCCACCTGGACTAATAGAGTCCAGTAAGTCTGAACTTCTTCCACCTGGACTAATAGAGTCCAGTAAGTCTGAACTTCCTCCATCTGGACTAATAGAGTACAGTAAGTCTGAACTTCCTCCACCTGGACTAATAGAGTCCAGTAAGTCTGAACTTCCTCCACCTGGACTAATAGAGTCCAGTAAGACTGAACTTCCTCCACCTGGACTAATATAGTCCAGTAAGTCTGAACTTCCTCCACCTGGACTAATAGAGTCCAGTAAGTCTGAACTTCCTCCACCTGGACTAATAGAGTCCAGTAAGTCTGAACTTCCTCCACCTGGACTAATAGAGTCCAGTAAGTCTGAACTTCCTCCACCTGGACTAATAGAGTCCAGTAAGTCTGAGATTCCTCCACCTGGACTAATAGAGTCCAGTAAGTCTGAACTTCCTCCATCTGGACTAATAGAGTCCAGTAAGTCTGAACTTCCTCCACCTGGATTAATAGAGTCCAGTAAGTCTGAACTTCCTCCACCTGGACTAATAGAGTCCAGTAAGTCTGAACTTCCTCCATCTGGACTAATAGAGTCCAGAAAGTCTGAACTTCCTCCACCTGGACTAATAGAGTCCAGTAAGTCTGAACTTCCTCCATCTGGACTAATAGAGTCCAGTAAGTCTGAACTTCCTCCATCTGGACTAATAGAGTCCAGTAAGTCTGAACTTCCTCCACCTGGACTAATAGAGTCCAGTAAGTCTGAACTTCCTCCACCTGGACTAATAGAGTCCAGTAAGTCTGAACTTCCTCCACCCGGACTAATAGAGTCCAGTAAGTCTGAACTTCCTCCATCTGGACTAATAGAGTCCAGTAAGTCTGAACTTCCTCCACCCGGACTAATAGAGTCCAGTAAGTCTGAACTTCCTCCACCTGGACTAATAGAGTCCAGTAAGTCTGAACTTCCTCCACCTGGACTAATAGAGTCCAGTAAGTCTGACCTTCCTCCACCTGGACTAATAGAGTCCAGTAAGTCTGAACTTCTTCCATCCGGACTAATAGAGTCCAGTAAGTCTGAACTTCCTCCACCTGGACTAATAGAGTCCAGTAAGTCTGAACTTCCTCCATCTGGACTAATAAGAGTCCAGTAAGTCTGAACTTCCTCCACCCGGACTAATAGAGTCCAGTAAGTCTGAACTTCCTCCACCTGGACTAATAGAGTCCAGTAAGTCTGAACTTCCTCCACCTGGACTAATAGAGTCCAGTAAGTCAGAACTTCCTCCACCTGGACTAATAGAGTCCAGTAAGTCTGAACTTCCTCCACCTGGACTAATAGAGTCCAGTAAGTCTGAACTTCCTCCACCCGGACTAATAGAGTCCAGTAAGTCTGAACTTCCTCCACCCGGACTAATAGAGTCCAGTAAGTCTGAACTTCCTCCACCTGGACTAATAGAGTCCAGTAAGTCTGAACTTCCTCCACCTGGACTAATAGAGTCCAGTAAGTCTGAACTTCCTCCACCTGGACTAATAGAGTCCAGTAAGTCTGAACTTCCTCCACCTGGACTAATAGAGTCCAGTAAGTCTGAACTTTCTCCACCTGGACTAATATAGTCCAGTAAGTCTGAACTTCTTCCACCTGGACTAATAGAGTCCAGTAAGTCTGAACTTCCTCCACCTGGACTAATATAATCCAGTAAGTATGAGATTCCTCCACCTGGACTAATAGAGTCCAGTAAGTCTGAACTTTCTCCACCTGGACTAATATAGTCCAGTAAGTCTGAACTTCTTCCACCTGGACTAATAGAGTCCAGTAAGTCTGAACTTCCTCCACCTGGAATAATATAGTCAAGTACGTCTGAACTTCCTCCATCTGGACTAATAGAGTCCAGTAAGTCTGAACTTCCTCCATCTGGACTAATATAGTCCAGTAAGTCTGAACTTCCTCCATCTGGACTAATAGAGTCCAGTAAGTCTGAACTTCCTCCATCTGGACTAATAGAGTCCAGTAAGTCAGAACTTCCTCCATCTGGACTAATAGAGTCCAGTAAGTCTGAACTTCCTCCACCTGGACTAATATAGTCCAGTAAGTCAGAACTTCCTCCATCTGGACTAATAGAGTCAAGTAAGTCTGAACTTCCTCCACCTGGACTAATAGAGTCCAGTAAGTGTGAACTTCCTCCACCTGGACTAATAGAGTCCAGTAAGTCTGAACTTCCGCCATCTGGACTAATAGAGTCCAGTAAGTCTGAACTTCCTCCACCTGGACTAATAGAGTCCAGTAAGTCTGAACTTCCTCCACCTGGACTAATAGAGTCCAGTAAGTCTGAACTTCCTCCATCTGGACTAATATAGTCCAGTAAGTCTGAACTTCCTCCACCTGGACTAATAGAGTCCAGTAAGTCTGAACTTCCTTCACCTGGACTAATAGAGTCCAGTAAGTCTGAACTTCCTCCATCCGGACTAATAGAGTCCAGTAAGTCAGAACTTCCTCCACCTGGACTAATAGAGTCCAGTAAGTCTGAACTTCCTCCACCTGGACTAATAGAGTCCAGTAAGACTGAACTTCCTCCATCTGGACTAATAGAGTCCAGTAAGTCTGAACTTCCTCCACCCGGACTAATAGAGTCCAGTAAGACTGAACTTCCTCCACCTGGACTAATAGAGTCCAGTAAGTCTGAACTTCCTCCATCTGGACTAATAGAGTCCAGTAAGTCTGAACTTCCTCCACCTGGACTAATAGAGTCCAGTAAGTCTGAACTTCCTCCACCTGGACTAATAGAGTCCAGTAAGTCTGAACTTCCTCCATCTGGACTAATAGAGTCCAGTAAGTCTGAACTTCCTCCACCTGGACTAATAGAGTCCAGTAAGTCTGAACTTCCTCCACCTGGACTAATAGAGTCCAGTAAGTCTGAACTTCCTCCACCTGGACTAATAGAGTCCAGTAAGTCTGAACTTCCTCCACCTGGACTAATAGAGTCCAGTAAGTCTGAACTTCCTCCACCTGGACTAATATAGTCCAGTAAGTCTGACTCTAAACTCAGATAATAATAATAATAATAATAATAATAATAATAATAATAATAATAATAATAATAATAATAATAATAATAATAATAATATGCCATTTAGCAGACGCTTTTATCCAAAGTGACTTACAGTCATGTGCGTAGGGGTGGTCCCGGGGATCGAACCCACTACCTTGGCGTTACAAGCGCCATGCTCTACCAATTGATCTACAGAGGACCAGATATAGAGTCCAGTAAGTCTGACTCTAAACTCAGATATAGAGTCCAGTAAGTATTTTTCTGAATAGCACAGCAGTGAGAAATGTCTCAGACTCTCCTCTCACACTCAGCTTCCAATACCCTGCCCGGAAGAGAGGCAGGCTTTCTGAGGACGTGCCCATTCCTTGTATTTAGTGGTAGTCTGGTAGAAGAGGGTTCATTGAGTACATCTTCTAGACATTCTCACAAAGATCTCTTTTATACAGTGTGGTTGGTTTTGTATTGAGTTAACTCCAGATCTAGTTAAATATAGTGAATCCATCCCATTCATATACCTCACAGTACAGTCTCTGCATGCGAAGAGAGGTTCTCTGTAGACGTCAGTATTCAGTATATGTTGTAGTGTAAGTGTGGTGTAAAGATCTTCATGTACTTGATCCAGTGGAGGCTGCTGAGGGGAGGACGGCTCATAGTAATGGCTGGAATGGAGTCAATGGAATGGCATCAACCACATGGAAACCATATGCATGATACCATTCCATTGGCTCCATTCCAGACAATATTATGAGCCGTCCTCCCCTCAGCAGCCTCCACTGACTTGATCATATATTCTGTTTTACCATCCAAATGTTTTTGTTTTCAATCCTCACATGAACTGACAGACAGACAGACAGACAGACAGACAGACAGACAGACCGTTCTTACTGCTGTCACTGATATGTCTATAGAGACAGTTCTTACTCCAGCCGCTGATATGTCTGTTCCTACATTGCAAGCCTTGGCTGAACTTTGTGACATTTTTTTCTGCTAACTGCCGTCATTTACCCTGGTGGATACAAGCCACCAAAAAGAGGACTGGTTGACAGTGACACCCCTTTAAGTGAAGCTCAGTGAAAACCCAAAAGCCATTTCCTGCACCACAGCCGCTCTCTGCTTCCTCTTCCTAGAGTGCTCTTTTAATAATGGTCTGCAGGGACACAGGGCTCACAGGCTGTTATTATTGGACTGGGAGGGTTACATGCTGTGTAGACCGGGCACATCCACACCAGACGCGATCCATACAAGCAGGTTGAAATATCAAAACCAATTCTGAACCAACTATACAAATTTGGGGACAGGTCGAAACGCATAAAACATTCATGGACATTCAGCTAGCTAGCTAGCTTGCTGTTGCTAGCTACATTTGTCCTGGGATATAAACATAGGGTTGTTATTTTACCTGAAATGTACAAGGTCCTTTTTTTCTGGATACTTGTAGAATTTTGACCCATTTTGAGTCGCACAAAATCGTGTGTTCTCTACTACGTCATTTAATCCACATATAAAAAGGGGAAACTAATAGTTTCTAGTAATCTCTCCTAGTTCAGTAGCAGTAGACCCATGGGGCGGAGCACAATTGGCCCAGCGTCGTCCAGGGTTGGGGAGGGAATGGCCGGCAGGGATGTAGCTCAGTTGGTAGAGCATGGCGTTTGCAACGCCAGGGTTGTGGGTTCGATTCCCACGGGGGGCTGGTATGATTTTTTTTAAAACAAACAAATAATGTATGCACTCACTAACTTTAAGTCGCTCTGGATAAGAGCGTCTGGTAAATGACTAAAATGTTAAAATGTTAGTATCAGCAGCAGTAGTAGACTTTATATGTCGTTTGGCAACCAACTTTAAGGTGCATTACCACCACCAACTGGGCTGGAGTGTGGCCCTTGTTCATCTTTTAATCACCCACGTGGGTATAAGCTCCTAAAAAACAATGAGGAGACGGGAGAGGGCGGGACTTGCATGCGTCATGCGTCAAAAATAGAACCAAGTTCTATTTTAGCCCCTGGCTACGCAGATGCTCGTTGACGCGCGCAAGCAGCTTAGATTAAATGATTGAATAACATACACTACCAGTCCAAAGTTTGGACACACCTACTCATTAAAAGGGGTTTTCTTTATTTCTACAATTTTTTACATTGTAGAATAATATTGAAGACATCAAAACTATGAAATAACACATATGGAATCATGTAGTAACCCAAAAAAAGTGCTTTTAATATGTGAGATTCTTCAAATAGCCACCCGTTGCCTTGATGACAGCTTTACACACTCTTGGCATTCTCTCAACCAGCTTCATGAGGTAGTCACCTGGAATGCATTTCAATTAACAGGTGGCCTTCTTAAAAGTTAATTTGTGGATTTTCTTTCCTTCCTTAATGCGTTTGAGCCAATCAGTTGTGTTGTGACAAGGTAGGGGTGGTATACAGAAGATAGCCCTATTTGGTAAAAGACCAAGTCCATATTATGACAAGAACAGCTCAAATAAGCAAAGAGAAACAACAGTCCATCATGACTTTAAGACATGAATGTCAGTCAATATGTAACTCTGTGTTGTTGTTTTTATCGCACTGCTTTGCTTTATCTTGGCCAGGTCGCAGTTGTAAATGAGAACTTGTTCTCAACTGGCTTACCTGGTTAAATAAATGTGAAATAAAAAATAAATAAAAAGAGTTACCTCTGCTGCAGAGGATAAGTTCATTAGAGTTACCAGCCTCAGAAATTGCAGCCCAAATAAATGCTTCACAGAGTTCAAGTCACAGACACATCTCAACATCAACTGTTCAGAGGGGACTGTGTTAATCAGGCCTTCCTGGTCGAATTGCTGCAAAGAAACCACCAATAAAAGACACCAATAAGAAGAAGAGACCTGCTTGGGCCAAGTAACACGAGCAATGGACATTAGACAGGTGGAAATGTGACCTTTGGTCTGGAGAATTTTTGTTCCAACAGCCGTGTCTTTGTGAGATGCGGTGTGGGAGAACGGATGATCTCCGCATGTGTATTTCCCACCGTAAAGCATGGAGGAGGAGGTGTTATGGTGTGGGGGTGCTTTGCTGGTGACACTATCTGTGATTTATTTAGAATTCAAGGCACACTTAACCAGCATGGCTACCACAGCATTCTGCAGCGATACGCCATCCCATCTGGTTTGGGCTTAGTGGGACTATCATTTGTTTTTCAACAGGACAATGACCCAACACACCTCCAGGCTGTGTAAGGGCTATTTTACCAAGAAGGAGAGTGATGGAGTGCTGCATCAGATGACCTGGCCTCCACAATCTCCCGACCTCAATCCAGAGAGGAGAGAGGAGAGGAGAGGAGAGGAAAGAGAAGGAAGAGAAGAGAAGAGAAGAGAAGAGAAGAGAAGAGAGAGAAGAGAAGAGAAAGAAGAGAAGAAGAGAAGAGAAGAGAAGAGAAGAGAAGAGAAGAGAAGAGAAGAGAAGAGAAGGAAGAGAAGAGAAGAGAAGAGAAGAGAGGAGAGGAGAGGAGAGGAGAGGAGAGGAGAGGAGAGGAGAGGAGAGGAGAGGAGGAAGGAGGAGGAGGAAATCTCAGGCTTGGTCAGATTAACTCACTTTGAGCTGAGACAAATCCACCATGTTGTGGTCACAGACGGCACAGCCTCTCTCGTAATTCCAGGCGTTGGGGATGTAGTTTCCCAGATAGTTCAAATACATCTGGAGGAAACAAAGAACAAATAGATCCTCATATGAAATATCAAAGAAACAACATGGTTATTTTCAAGTTTAATTATCCTTTATATTACAAATAGAAGATGATTTAATCCGATGAGAAGTATATTCCATGCTGGCGTTTGGTCCATGTGTCCTGGTGATTCACAACAGGGCTGGTCAGTGGTTTCCAAATGACACCCTATTCCCTATATAGTGCACTACTTTAGACCAGAGAATGGCACCCTATTCCCTATACAGTGCACTACTTTTGATGGGGCGCAATGTAGGACTCACCCTAGTGGGATGGTCAGTCTGGACAGTTCAGATTAGACGATTAAAGGCCAGCGCACAATAAACATTTCCTCTCAAATCTACACTGACTAAATGGCCTGTAATTATTCTCCCTGTCTGAAGTCACTGCCCAGAATTTAGCTGCAGTGTAATTTTACAGGTGCTAAAGTTTAATACACTCTTTTTTTTTTTTTTTTGTCATTTAGCAAGACACTCTTATACAGAGCGACTTACAGTTAGTAAGTGCATACATAATTTTAATTTTTTTCATACTGGCCCCCCGTGGGAATCGAACCCACAACCCTGGCGTTGCAAACGCCATGCTCTACCAACTGAGCTACATCCCTGCCGGCCATTCCCTCCCCTACCCTGGACGACGCTGGGCCAATTGTGCGCCGCCCCATGGGTCTCCCGGTCGCAGCCCGGCTACGACAGAGGCTGGATTCGAACCAGGATCTCTAGTGGCACAGCTAGCACTGCGATGCAGTGCCTTAGACCACTGCGCCACTCGGCGCCACTGCGCCACACTCTCCCTAAGAGAAGTGTGTTCCCCTACTTACTAGTTTCTAAGTGATCTGAGACAGAAATGGACATCAGTTTGGACCCATAGTAATTCATCAGAATAAAAATATACTTTATGTGATGCAATCAAAGATATCCCCATAGCACACGCACACACTGGAAACAATTTAACAACCATATTAGTGTTTGGATTCATGTCTTGGCTAAACAAACAACAGATTCTCTGGCAACTAATACATGATAGAGCTGTTGGAGGTTAACTCTGTGTGAGGCGTGTGTTTGTGGTTGTGATTAGTGGAAGCCAGGGATTCTCCTCCCCAAAAAAGAAAATAAACCCTTTTCCCCTTCCCCCTTCCTCCCTAAAAAAAAACCTACCACCCCTCCTTCCTCTAAAAACCCCTTTTGACATTCCCAACCTTGGGGTTTACACTTAAATTAAACACAACCTCTCCCGACTCCACCCCAGGGAGGGGGAAAAGGAAAAAACAAGAGGGTGGGTGGTAAGGGAGGAGTAAAATTTTTTAAATAAATCCTAAAGTAGGGAATAAAACCCAACAAAACAATGTGGGGGGAAGGGAGGGGTTTTGAATCGAGGGGGGAAGGAACCCAGGGAGGTGGAGGGTTAAGGGGGAAATTGGTAACAGTTTTAAAACCCCCCTATTTTAATTTCACAAACCCCTTTTGATTCCAAAAGAAAATTTTGACCCAATGTTAAAACCCCCCCCGGGATAAAACCCCTTTGTTTAAAAACCCCCCCCGGGGGGGGGGTTGGGGGGGGATGGAGGGGGGGGTTTGGAGGGAGAGGGAGGGGGGGGGGGACGAGGGAGGGGTTGGAGGGTTTGGGGGAGGGGGGGGGGGACGAGGGAGGGGTTGGTAGGACGAGGGGGGGGGGGGTTGGGGGGAGAAAGGGGGGGGGGTAGGGGAGGGAGGGTTAGGGAGGGGAGGGGGGGGGTTGGAGGACGGGGGGGGGGGGTGGGGAGGGATGGGGGGGGGGGGTTTTGGTAGGAACGAGGGGGGGTTTGGAGGGACGAGGGAGGGAGGGGGGGGGTGGGGAGGGAGGGGTTGGGGGGGGACAGGGGGGGGATGGGGGGGCGAGGGAGGGGGGGTGGGATCGAGGGAGGGGGGGAGGGAGAGGGGGGGGAGGAGGGAGGAGGGGAGGGGGGGGTGGGGGAAAAGGGAGGGGGTTGGGGAGGGGGAGGGAGGGGGGGGGGGTAGGGATGAGGGAGGGTTGGTGGGGGATGAGGGGGGGGGGGTTGGTGGGGATGAGGAGGGGGGGGGTAGGGATCGAGGGGGGGGGTTGGTGGAATGACGGGGGGGTTTGGGTGGTAGGGATGGGGAGGGAGGGAGGGTTGGGGGAGGGACGGGGAGGGGGGGGGATCGAGGGAGGGAGGGGGATGGGGGGGGGGGGTGGGGATCGAGGGAGGGGGTGGAGGGAGAGGGCGGGAAAAGGGGGGAGGGATGGGGGGGTTGGGGGGGGGAAAAGGAGGGAGGGGTTGGTAGGGATTCGGGACGGAGGGGGGGGGGTTGGAGGGAGGGGGGGGGCGGGGGGGGTTGAGGGATTCGGGGAGGGGGGGGGGGGAGGGATCGGGGGGAAGGGGTGGGGAGGGAAGAGGGGGGGGTTTTGGTGTGGGAACGCGGGGGGGTTGGAGGGACAGGGGAGGGGGGGAGGGGGGAGGGATGGGGAGGGGTTGGGGGGGATCGAAGGGGGGGTTTGGGGGGGGAGAGGGGGAGGGGGGGGGGTAGGGATGGGGAGGGAAGGGGGAGGGGGGGGTTGGGGGGAGGGAGGGAGGGATGGGGGGGGGAGAGGGAGGGAGGGGGGGGGTAGGGATCGAGGGAGGGGGGTTGGGGGGGGGGAGGGATGAGGGGGGGGGGGGTTGGTAGGGACAGGGAGGGGGGGGGGAGGGGTTGGAGGGTCGGGGGGGGGGGGGGGGATGGGAGAAGGAAATTGGGGGGGGGGGGGGAAAGGGCCCGGGTTGGTAGGGAAAAGGAGGGGGGGGGGAGGGATCGAGGGAGGGGGTTGGTGGAAGGGAGGGGGGGAGGGTTCAGGGAGGGTTGGAGGGATGAGGGGGGGGGGGGGGGAGGGACCCGGGGGTTGGGGGGGGGAGAGGGGGGGTTGGTAGGGGGGGGAGGGGGGGGGGGAGGGAGAGGGAGGGGGGAGGAAGAGGGGGGTTTTGGGTGGGGAGTGGGGAGGGGGGGGGAGGGGATCACGGGGGGGGGAGGGCGAGGGAGGGGGGGGGGGGTAAAGGCCAAGGGGGGGGGGGGTAGGGGATCGGGGGGGGGGGGAGGAATCGCGGGGGGGTGGAGGACGGGGAGGGGAGGGGGGGGGGGGGATGGGAGGGGGGGGGATCGGGGGGGGGAGGGAGGGGGAGGGGGGGGGGGGGGAGGGAGGGGTTGGGGGGGCGGGGGGGGGGTTGGTAGGGATCAGGGAGGGGGGGGGGGGAGGGAAGGGGGGTTGGGGGGCAGGGGGGTGGGGGAAGAGGGAGGGGGTTGGGGGGGAAAGGGGGGGGGGGGTGGGGGGACGAGGGGGGAGGGTTGGAGGGACAGGGGGGTGGGTGGGGGAGAGGGAAGGGGTTGGGGGGACGAGGGAGGGGGGTGGGATGAGGGGGGGGGAGGGAGGGGGGGGGGGGGGGTTGGTTTGGGGAGGGAGGGGGGGGGGGGAGAGGGAGGGAGGGGAGGGTTGGGGGGACGGGGGGGGGGAGGGGGGGGGGGGGGGAGAGGGAGGGGGGGGAGGGATGAGGGAGGGAGGGAGGGGTGGAGGGAGGGAGGGAGGGGGGGTTTGGAGGGACGAGGAGGGAGGGAGGGGGGGGTAGGGAGAGGGAGGGGGGAGGGGGGGGGGAGGGATCGGGGGGAGGGAGGGGTTGGTAGGGGATGAGGGGAGGGGGGGGGGTTGGTAGGGATCGAGGGAGGGAGGGAGGGAGGGGGGGGTTGGTAGGGATCGAGGGAGGGAGGGAGGGAGGGGGTATAGTGAGAGATGGAAGTAATGAGGGGAGTGAGGGGGAAAGGGCACCAGGGAGTGAGGAGGAGGGATGTTACCAAATGTTGGCCAGACCTTACTCCTCCACACAATGACCAGCTGGATTCCAGAGAAGTTCCCCCCATACAGATTCTAAAGAACCCCATAACGTTCCCCCTCACATATGTTTTGTATGGTGTTTATTCTATAATAAGAGCAAGGTAATGTTGATTAGAAAGTATTTACTTCAGCATCACTCTGTAGCATACAGCTCCATTCAGTGCATAGTAAGTAATTCCTAACTCGGCTAACTAGTACTATCTAGTATCACACTCAGATACACATAACAGCAGCGTCATCTATTGGCTTGGAGAGAATCTCGTAACAACAATTCTGCAGAATCCCTGCCTCTAGAGATCTGTCAGTACACAGCTTGTTTTCATAGAAGACCTTGGCAATTTCTCACAATTTCAGGGAGTTTTATACTGTTTTAAACTAAGCCTTTTTCTTTTATTATATGAGGCCTATTTGGACAGGAAGCTCAGAAAGTCGGCCTGAAAGCCTGCCTTCCAGGCAGATCTAGAGGAATGCCTTTGTTATTATAATTAACAAATGTGAAACACTGACATAATTCAACAACAAGGCTAATTCAACAAGGCTGGTTTTGTTTTCTCCAGAAACAGAGATGGTAACTGGTTCTGAACTGGGGGCATCATGGATCTGTACCCAGACACCAGGAAAGTGGTTATTGCCGGGGATGGTTCCGGCATGTTGGAAATGTTAATATTGTCTTACTCACTTTGGTGTTTGCGTTGCCATGGACGACCACTGGCAGGGTGTCGTACACAGTGTTTCTCACTCGGACTCTCTCCGTTCCAAACTTCAAGAGAACTTCGTCTGCAGTGAGAGAGAAAAGAACAGAAGTACAACAGGGTTTAGAATAGTCCAGGGCCAGCATGCTGTACCCTGTTGTCTTATCTAAACCCAATGAGGGTAGCAAAATGATGCTAACTTTCAAAAACTTCCCAGGTTTTCCAGAAATCCTGGTTGGAAGACTCTGGATTTCCTGTGTATTCCCTTCTGATTATGGGAATCTTCCAAACAGGATTTCTGGAAAACCTGGGAATTTTGGGAAAGTTACCAGAATTTTGCAACCCTAACCCTCTCTGGCTGTCACAAGGCTCTGTCTGGGCTCTGTCCGGGCTCTGTCTGGGCTCTGTCTGGGCTCTGTGGCTCTTTGGCAAAACAGACTGATACAGAACTCAGTAGCTGTAAATTAAATTTCTCTGAAAATGCTTGAGTTGCTTTTTACAGATTAGTACAATTCCAACAGCTATAAACACTTCAAGAGTTTCATTTTAATCAGCCAGTGTTGGATATAAGAAAGAGCAGTTTGAGATTAGTTTAAAACCCATTAGAGTCTAAACTGTCTATGCCGGGGTAGGGGGTTCTACTAAAATACATGGAATTGTTTTAATGATCATTTAGCTATTTGATTTAGAATATTAAGTATTAAAAAAAATTGATATATATTTGGTGAAAATGTGTTTTTGGCCTTACTGCTATTAGCCCATTCAAAAACATTGAATAACAGATTCACTACATGGAACAGATACAGTGGGGAAAAAAAGTATTTAGTCAGCCACCAATTGTGCAAGTTCTCCCACTTAAAAAGATGAGAGAGGCCTGTCATTTTCATCATAGGTACACGTCAACTATGACAGACAAATTGAGAAAAAAAAATGCGGAAAATTACATTGTAGGATTTTTAATGAATTTATTTGCAAATTATGGTGGAAAATAAGTATTTGGTCACCTACAAACAAGCAAGATTCCTGGCTCTCACAGACTTGTAACTTCTTCTTTAAGAGGCTCCTCTGTCCTCCACTCGTTACCTGTATTAATGGCACCTGTTTGAACTTGTTATCAGTATAAAAGACACCTGCCCACAACCTCAAACAGTCACACTCCAAACTCCACTATGGCCAAGACCAAAGAGCTGTCAAAGGACACCAGAAACAAAATTCTAGACCTGCACCAGGCTGGGAAGATTGAATCTGCAATAGGTAAGCAGCTTGGTTTGAAGAAATCAACTGTGGGAGCAATTATTAGGAAATGGAAGACATACAAGACCACTGATAATCTCCCTCGATCTGGGGCTCCACGCAAGATCTCACCCCGTGGGGTCAAAATGATCACAAGAACGGTGAGCAAAAATCCCAGAACCACACGGGGGGACCTAGTGAATGACCTGCAGAGAGCTGGGACCAAAGTAACAAAGCCTACCATCAGTAACACACTACGCAGTGCCAGACGTGTCCCCCTGCTTAAGCCAGTACATGTCCAGGCCCGTCTGAAGTTTGCTAGAATGCATTTGGATGATCCAGAAGAGGATTGGGCAGAATGTCATATGGTCAGATGAAACCAAAATAGAACTTTTTGGTAAAAACTCAACTCGTCGTGTTTGGAGGACAAAGAATGCTGAGTTGCATCCAAAGAACACCATACCTACTGTGAAGCATGGGGGTGGAAACATCATGCTTTGGGGCTGTTTTTCTGCAAAGGGACCAGGACGACTGATCCGTGTAAAGGAAAGAATGAATGGGGCCATGTATCGTGAGATTTTTAGTGAAAACCTCCTTCCATCAGCAAGGGCATTGAACATGAAACGTGGCTGGGTCTTTCAGCATGACAATGATCCCAAACACACCGCCCGGGCAACGAAGGAGTGGCTTCGTAAGAAGCATTTCAAGGTCCTGGAGTGGCCTAGCCAGTCTCCAGATCTCAACCCCATAGAAAATCTTTGGAGGGAGTTGAAAGTCCGTGTTGCCCAGCGACAGCCCCAAAACATCACTGCTCTAGAGGAGATCTGCATGGAGGAATGGGCCAAAATACCAGCAACAGTGTGTGAAAACCTTGTGATGACTTACAGAAAATGTTTGACCTGTGTCATTGCCAACAAAGGGTATATAACAAAGTATTGAAAAACTTTTGTTATTGACCAAATACTTATTTTCCACCATAATTTGCAAATAAATTCATTAAAAATCCTACAATGTGACTTTCTGGATTTTTTTTCTTCATTTTGTCTGTCATAGTTGACGTGTACCTATGATGAAAATTACAGGCCTCTCTCAACTTTTTAAGTGGGAGAACTTGCACAATTGGTGGCTGACTAAATACTTTTTTTCCCCACTGTATTCCCAAAAAATATCAAAAGGAAGTTTGTTCTGAAGTGTCTTCTCCTATATCTGAGCGTTATAAGAAAGATCAGGAAACATTTAACCCCATTAAACAATCTCCATATACTTTAAGTATATTTTTTCGTTTCAGACTCCTCCACTAACTGAAGTTAATTGTATGGATTTATTTCTATTAATCATGTAAAATTAACAGCCGTACAGAAAGACTACAGAGGAACTTCTTGATGCAATTAAAGCCTTTAAGTCCTGGAAAACTCCAGGGCTGGATGGCATACCAGTGGAGGTATACCAAACCTTTTTTGATGTTCTCAGATTACCGTTATTAGCATGTTTTGAACACTCCTATAAAAATGGTTGATTATCAGATACTCAACAAGAAGGTCTGATTTCATTATTACTGAAACAGGAACCAAGAGATAAATATAAAGATCCAGTCCATTAAAAAAATTGTAGGCCCCTTACACTTCAGTGTTGTCATGCAAAAATTCTATCAAAATGTATAGAATTAAAAAGGTATTGTCGATATTATTCATCCTAATCAGACAGGTTTTTTACATAGTACAAGATAAGTATTGGAAACAATAGAACACTATGAAAAATCTGGGAAACCAGGCCTGGTATTCATAGCTGACTTTTGATAAAGTACGACTGGAATTTATATCTAAATGCCTGGAATACAGTGCCTTCCAAAAGTATTCATCCCCCTTGACATTTTTCCTATTTTGTTGCATTACAACCTGTCATTTAAATTGATTTTTATTTGGATTTCATGTAATGGACATACACAGAATAGTTCAAATTGGTGAAGTGAAATTAAAAAAATAACTTGTTAAAAGAAATTCTAAAAAATAAATAACAGGAAAGTGGTGCGTGCATATGTATTCACCCCCTTTGCTTTGAAGCCCCTAAATAAGATCTGGTGCAACCAATTACCTTCAGAGTGTTTAGTGTTTAGGCGAAACCGTTCGGATGCTAAAGGCGATTTAGTGAGAAGACCGATTTTCAGGATGTCTCATGGTCTGACAAACACTGCTTTAGCTCTGACATAGGTGGATGCGGTGGATATCTCTATCTTAAACTGATGGATTTTTATAGGGGATATTTTTATTATGCTAATTTGATTTCCGCTGGGGCTTGGACATCGATTTATTTATTTTTACTTATCAGATTACTCAAAGTCCTGATGACATCGACCTTAGGGGGTTATTAAAAGACAAAATATATATTTCAGAAATGTTAATCTAAGAGTTTACAGTAATCAGGGCATCTTCTGTGAAATGTTAATCTGAGAGTTTACAGTAATCAGGGCTTCTTCTGTGAAATGTTAATCTGAGAGTTTACAGTAATCAGGGCTTCTTCTGTGAAATGTTAATCTGAGAGTTTACAGTAATCAGGGCATCTTCTGTGAAATGTTAATCTGAGAGTTTACAGTAATCAGGGCTTCTTCTGTGGTAACTCACCTATTGCTCCATTTAAATTCTGGAAAATCTGAGACTTGTGGTCCAAGCCAATGTTCAATGTCTCCTGAAAACACAGAGACAACAGAACAGAAAAATGAAAGAGTACTTTTCAGAAAATGTAATTGTCCAGCCTGTTAATTTGTAATATTTTTGTTTGTTTTCAGGTGTTTTATGAGGATATGTGCGTTGTGCCAGTAACCGAAAGGTCGCTGGTTCTAATCCCCGAGCCGACTAGGTGAAAAATCTGTCGATGTGCCCTTGAGCAAGGCACTTAACCCTAAATTGCTCCTGTAAGTCGCTCTGGATAAGAGCGTCTGCTAAAAAGGTATATAACGTACCCTATGTAAAGGGTCCAGGTATATAACTGTAAAGGGTAGGTTTTATTTCGCAGATGATTTACAGTACCGTGAGTGCTTACATTAGCGCCACACTCCTACCAACTAAGTCACACAGGACCATTACTCACCCTCTGCAAAGGGTCCAGGTATATTTTTGTGTAGAATAGCTGATCGTCATCGTTCTCGTGAAGGTTCCACTGCTCGACGATCTTGTTCACATACGGGGCATAACCGATGATGCCTAGGGGTTAAAACCAGATGGAGTTAAAACCAGATTGAGTTAAAACCAGATGGAGTTAAAACCAGATGGAGTTAAAACCAGATGGAGTTAAAACCAGATTGAGTTCAAAAGTTCACTCATTGGGTCCAATTAAACAAAGTATAGGGTGTAGTGTGGTGATTGTGTAGTATAGGGTGTAGAGTAGGGTGGTTGGGTGGTGGGTTGGTGGGTGAGTGGTAGGGTGTTAGGGTGTGGGGTAGTGTAGGGTGTGTGGTAGGGTTGTGTGTGGGGTGTGTGGGGGGGGGTGGTAGTTGGGTGTGGTGGGTGGGTGGGTGTGTAGGGGTTGGGGGGTGGGTGGGTGTGTGTAGGGTGTGTGTGAGGGTGTTAAGGGTTGGTGTGGGGTGGGGTGTTGTGGGGGTGTGGGTGTTGGGGTGTGGTTGGGTGGGGGTGGTGGGTGTGTGGGGTGTGGGTGTGTGTGGGGGTGGTTGGGTTTTGTGTGGGTGGTGTGGGTGGGGGGGTGTGTGGGTTGGGTGGGGGGTGGGGGGGGGTGTGGGTGTGTGTTCGGGTTGGGTGTTGGGTGGGTTTTGGGGGTTGTTGGGGGTGGGTGTTTTGGTTGTGGGTTGTTGGGGGGGGGTGTGGTAGGGGTTGGGGGTGGGTGTTGGGTTGGTGTTGGGGGTTGGTGGGGGTTTGGGGTGGCCGGTGGGTTGGTTGGTGTGGGTTGGTGGGGGTGGTGGGGTGTGGTTGTTCGGGTGTTGGCGTGTAGGTGGGTGGGTGGGTTTGGGGGTGTGTGGGTGTGGTGGGTTAGGGTGGGGGTTTGGGGGTTGTTGGTGTGGTGGGTTGTGGGTGTGTGTGGGTTGGGTTGGGTGTGTGTGGGTTGGGTGGGTGGGGGGTGTGTGTGGTGTCGTGGGGTTTTGGGGTGGGGGGGTTTGAGTGGGTGGGTGTGTGGGTGTGTGTGGTGTCGTGTGGTGTGGTTTTGGGGTGGGTGGTGTGGGTGGTGTGTGGGGTGTGTGGGTGGTCCGTTGGGGGTTGTTTGTTACGGGTGTGGGTTGGGGGTGGGGGGTCGGGGGTGTGTGGTTGGTGTGTGGGTGATGTTTGGGTGTGGGTGGGTGTCTGTGGTTTAGGGTGTGTGGTGGGTTTGTGGTGTGGGGTGTGGGTGTTGGGTGTGGGTTGGGGTGGTTGGGGGGTGTGGTGGGTGTGGGGGGTGTGGTGGGTGTGGGCGGTGTGGGTTGGGTGGGTGGGGGTGGGGTTGTTGGGGGTGGGTGTGGGGTGGGGGGTGTGGGGTGGGTTTTGGGGTCGGGTGTGTGGGTTGGGTGGTGGGGGCTGCGGTGTCGGTGTTTGGGGGGGGGTGGGTGTGTGGGGGGGTTGTGTGGGTGTGGGTGTTGTGTAGGGTTGGGTGGGGTGGTATGGTGTCGGGTGGGTTGGGTGGGTGTGGTTCTGGGTTTTGGGTGGGTGGGTGGGGGGTGGGTTGGGTTGGGTGTGGTGTGTGTCGGGTTGGGGTTGTGTGGGTGGGTGGTTTGTTGGGTTGGGTTTGGGGGTTGTGGGTTGGTGTGGGGTGGGTGTTGGTTGGGGGTTTTTGGGTTGGGTGGGTGGGTTCTAGGGTGTGGGTGTTGGGTGGTTGGTGTGGTGTGGGTGGTGGGGTGGGGGGTGTGTTGGTATGGTTGTGGGTGTGGGTATGGGTGGGGGGTGTGTGTGGGTAGTGTTAGGGGTGGGTGGGTGGGTGGGTGTAGGGTGGTAGTGTAGGGTTGGTGTGGGTTAGGGTTTAGGTGTAGGGTTATGGGGTGTTGGGTTGTTAGGGTGTTGTGGGTAGGGTGTAGTGTGGGTGTGGGTTGGTGGGTGTGTGGGTTTGGGTTCGGGTTGGGTGTGCGGTTAGGGGGTGTGGGTGGTTGTTGGGGTTGGGGGGTTGTGGGTTGGGTTTTGTAGGGGGTAGTGTGGGGGTAGTGTGGGTGTTTGGGGGGTTGTGTGGGGGTGTGGTGGTGGTTGGGTTGTGGGGGTTGGGGGTGTGTGGTTGGTTGGGTTGTGTGTGGGGTGTTCGTGTGGGTTTTCGGGTGGGTTGGGTGGGTTGTTGTGGTGTGGGTGTGGGTTAGGGTGTGTGGGAGGGGTTGTGGGTGTCGGTGGGGGTTGGGGTGTGTTTTTGGTGTTGTGGTTGGGTTTGTGGGGTGAGGGTGTGGGGTTTTTGTGTGTGGGTTCGTGGGTTGGTGGGGTGTGGTGTGGGTGGGGTTGTGTGGGTGTAGGTCGTGTAGGGTGGTTGGGTGTGTGTGGGGTTCGTGGGGTGTGTGGTGGTGTGGGGTGTGGGTGTGTTGTGTGGTTTGTTGGGGTGTGTGGGGTCGTGTGGTGGTTTTTTGGTGTTTGTGGGTGGTGGGGGGGTGTGTGTTGGGGTGTGTTGGGATGGGGGTGGTCGGGTTTGGTGGTGGTGTTGTGTGTTGCGGTGTGGGGGTGTTGTGGTGGGGGTGTTGGGGGGGGGTGTGGTTGTGGTGTGGTGGGGAGGGTGTGGGGGGTGGGTTGTGGTGTGGTGAGGTTGGGGTGTGGGGGTGTTGTGGGGTGTTTGGGTTGTTAGGGTGTGGGTTTGGGGGGGTTTGGGGGGTGGGTTGTGTCGGGTGGGTAGGGGGGGTTTGGGTATGTAGGGTGTCGTGAGGGTTGGTAGGGTGTAGTGTAGGGTGTGTGCTTGTAGGTGTGGTGTGTAGTGGGGGTGGTGTAGGTGTAGGGTTTTGTGTGGGTGTGGTGGGGTTGTGTGGGTTGGGTGGTAGGGGGTGTTAGGGGTGTGTGGGGGTTGTGTGGGGTTTTGGGGTAGGGGGCGGGTGTGTGTGGGTTTGGGTGTGTGGGTTCTGTGGGTGTGGTTGGTGGGTGGGGTGTGTGTAGGGGTTGTGTGTTGGTGTAGTGTGGGTGTGGGTGTGTGTCGGGTGTGGGTGTGGGTTGGGGGGTGTGTGGTGGTTGGTGTGTGGTGTTGTGTGTGGGGGTGTGTGGGTGTGTGTGGGTTGGGTGGGGGTTAGTTGGTGGGTTTGTGGTGTGTGGGGGGTGGGGTGTTGGGTGTGGTAGGGGTTTGTGGTTTGGGGTTGGGGTGGGGGGTGGGGTGTGTGGGTTGGGGGGTTGGGGTTGTGTAGTGGGTGGGTTTGTTGGTTGTGGGGTGTTGTTGGGTTTGTGGGGGTGTGTGTGGGGTTGTGGGTGTGGTGGGTGGTTGTGTGGGTGTGTGTGTGTGTGTGGTGTTTCGTAGGGTTGTGTTGTTGTGTGTTTTGTAGGGTTGTGTTGTGTGTGTGTGGGTGTGTGTGGGGGTTGTGTGGGTTTTTTGTCTTTGTGGTGGGTGTGTGGTGTAGGTGGGTGTAGTGTGGTGTTGTGTGGGTTTGGTGGGTTTGGGGGTGTGGGTTTTGGTTTTTGAGGGTTGGTGGGTGTGGGTGGGGTGTCGGGGGTGTAGGGTTTGTTGGGTGGTGTGTTGGTTGTTGGGGGTTTGGGGGGGTTTTGTGTGGGTTGAGGGTGTGGTGGGTGGTTGTGTGTGGGGGGGGTGTGGGTGGAGTGTGTGGGGTTGTGGTGTGTGGGTGTGGTGGGTGTTCTTGGTGTGTGGTTGGTTTTGGTGTGGTTTGTTGGGTTGTAGGGTTGGGTGGTTTGGGGTGGGGTTTGGGGGGTTTAGTGTGGGTTGTGGGTGGGGGTGTGTTGTTGTAGGTAGGTGGGGGTGTAGTAGGTGTTTGGTGGTTGGGGTCTTAGGTAGTGTAGGGTGTAGTGTGGGTGTAGTGTGGGTGAGTTGTGTAGTGTAGGGTGTCGTGTTGTTATGGTGGGTTGTAGTTGTGGGTTGTAGGTGGGTTTGGTTTATTGGGTTAGTGTTGTGGTAGTGTAGTGTAGGGTGGTTGTAGGGTTGTGGTTGTGGGTGTTAGTGTTTAGGGTGTGGGGTTAGTGTAGGGTTTTGTGGGGTGGTGTTGTGGTGTGTGTGTAGGTTGTGTAGGGTAGTGTTAGGGGGTTTGGGTGTTTGTTGGGGTTTGGTGTGTGTAGGTTTGTGTGGTGTATGTGGGGGAGGTTAGGGTTGTGTTTTAGGGTATGTGTTTAGGGTGTGGGTTGGGTGGTGTTTTTATTTTAGGGTGTAGGGTGTTTGTTTGTGATGGGTTGTGTGGGAGGTTTTGGGTGTTGTGTTGGGTGTGGTGTGGTTGTGTGGTTTCTTCGGGTGGTTAGGTGTGGGTTGTTGTGGTTTTGTTGGGTGTGGTGGGTGGGTGGGTGGTGGTTTGTGGGTTTGGGGTAGTGTGGGGTGTTGGGGTGGTGGTTTGGTGGTTGTTAGTGGGTTTGGGTGTGTGTTGGTCGTAGGGGGTTTGTGTCTAGTTGTGGGTTGTGTGTTGGGGTAGTGTAGGTTGTTTTGTGGGTTGTGTAGGGTTTAGGTTTGGGGTGAGGTGTAGGTAGGCTTTGTGGTTGGGTGGTAGGGAGGTTCTAGTGGGTGTATTAGTGTGGGGAGTTGGGTTTGTAGGTGGTGTGTTAGGTTAGGGTGGTTTAGGGGATGTGGTAGTGTGGTGGGTGGGGGTGAAATGTATTTAGGATGTAGGGGTAGGGGTTTGGTAGGTGTTGTTGTTTGGTGTGGTTTGTTATTTGTGGGTGTGTTGTTTGTGTGGTAGTGTTTTGTAAGGGTTGGGGGGTAGTGTAGGTGTTTGGGTTTTTTGTGTAGTGTAGGTGTTGTGTGGTGTTTGGGTTGTTGGGGTTAGTTTGGTGTAAAGTTGGGTGTGTGTAGGGTTGTTGTGGGTGTGGTTGGGTTGTTGGGGGTTTGGGTGGGTGTTGGGGGTATGGGTTGGGTGGGTTTGGGGTGGGGGGTGTGTGGGTTTGGGTGATGTGGGTGTGTGTGGTGTGTGTTTGGGGGTTTGGTGGGTTTTTGTTTTTTTGGGGGTTTGGGGGGTGGGTGTGGGGGGTGGGTGTGGTGTGTGGGTGGTGGGGGTATGTAGGGGGGTAGGGGGGTGTGGGTGGGGGTTGGTGGGTTTTTGGGAGTGTGGGGGGTGTGGGTGGGGGTTTGGTGTGGGTGTGTTGGGTTTTGTGTGGGGGGTGTTTGGGGGGGTGTGGGTTT